GAGTCTACAGATAAGCTGCTTTAGAGTGGCTGGTTCACTTTTTTAAAATGTTCTTGCCTGAGGTTGTTTGAAGGTAGGCAGTATTTTAAGGTAGATTTTCAGGTTTATTGTATGCGGGCTTAAGCTTTTGCAGGCATGACCCTCAGCTTTCAGGAGAGCAAAATATGACAGACAATGGGAGAGAGCAACAGGGAATAGCATATTCCTTTATTTAGTATTACTCAGTAACAGAATCACTGAGATGGTAAATCCTCAAAGCAAGGTTTTCCATCTGGCATGGGTGTTAAGAGAAATAAAATAATCTGATAAACATACAGAATGTACCTGTCTGCTGGGAGGATTGTGGAAGCCAACTGTTAATTTCATTGCAGTTGTATACTTTGTCTAGCGAAATCAAAGTATAATAACTTGTCACATCTACACTATGCATTTAAAGTACTGTAATTCTGATATGACCAAATTCATAGAGAATTCTGGGAATTGTAGTTTAAGGGTGCTGGCCTCCCAGAGCTACAGTTCCCAACGCTCATAACAATCTGCTGGGATTCTGCATTATTGCTGAAGCGGTATAATCATGCTTTAAAGGTAGAGTGTGGATGTGACCATATTATATATTATATAGTATCCATTAGGCATTCTGTCAGGGACGCGGGTGGCGCTGTGGGTTAAAGCCTCAGTGCCTAGGACTTGCCGATCGAAAGGTCGGCGGTTCGAATCCCCGCGGCGGGGTGCGCTCCTGTCGCTCCGTCCCAGCGCCTGCCAACCTAGCAGTTCGAAAGCACCCCCGGGTGCAAGTAGATAAATAGGGACCGCTTACCAGCGGGAAGGTAAACGGCGTTTCCGTGTGCTGCGCTGGCTCGCCAGATGCAGCTTGTCATGCTGGCCACATGACCCGGAAGTGTCTGCGGACAGCGCTGGCCCCCCGGCCTATAGAGTGAGATGGGTGCACAACCCTAGAGTCTGTCAAGACTGGCCCGTATGGGTAGGGGTACCTTTACCTTTACCTTTAGGCATTCTGTCACTATCACTGCCTCTGGGACAGTCATGACACCACTTACACAAGATGTGTGAACACAATTTCAGAAAGGCAAGAGGGTGTTGTAGGGGAATTGCCAGGAGATAGAGCTCTTCAGATGAACGTGATTCAGTCTTGCCCCTCTTATTTGAGAATCTCTGGGGTAAATGTCACATACCAGGGTGTTTCCCTTGTGTTGTAATGAATCTGTACCCCCCCCACACACACAATCTTGGGTGGAGAGGAAACTCCCACCCCATGCAGATAACCGGATGATAAAGAGGATCCCCTGTGTGGTAGGTGGAGGGGATTCCACCTTCACCAGGGGTTTGTGTAGTACACAGCCTCTTCCTTTTGGGGTACTGGTGATCTAGCTGACTTTCTTTTCTGTGCCTGAATGAACTGAGTTGAATTGAATTAACAGACTTCTGCTGATACAGTGGCCTTCGCTTTCTTCCTGTTGTCATTCGCCCCCCCCCCCAAAAATCTGCTCTGGAGGGGTCTGCAGGAGCGTGGTGTTATAGCGGAAATTCATTTTGTGAGCAACGGTATGCTTATCTGACATTGGATCCCACACTGTAAAAAAGGTAAACCCTGGACAGTTAAGTCCAGTCAAAGGCGACTATGGGGTTGCAGTGCTCATCTCGCTTTCAGGCCAAGGGAGCCAGCATTTGTCCACAGACAGCTTTCCGGGTCATGTGGCCAGCATGACTAAACAGCTTCTGGTGCAATGGCATCCTCATTTGCTTCTTGGCTGTCAAAAAACCTAGCAACTATTAATTTTTATTATTATTTACTTCATTTCCGAATCACTTCCCATGAAGCATGCTGAAACACTTTACAATCTACTAAAACATATAAGACAGTTTATATATATATATATAAACTGTTTAAAACAATGGCATATTCATAAAATCTACTAAAACCCCAAATCAGATAACAACTGGCATAAAGGTTCTGGAAGTCTTGTTGAAAGAGGAATGTCTAGATGATTGGGATGAAACAGGAGTACTGTTTAACATTTAGAAGGGGGATGCCATGAAATTGAATAAAACCTAGATATACAGACTTGCTCTTTGTTTATTTAAACTGAAACTGGAGAAGCAGCCCTCTGTTCTGAAGCCTGTCCTGTGTGGTTTGCCATTTTCCTTGTGCTACATCCAATTTCCATCTAAAAAGCAACGGCCTGAGAAACATCGTTAATAAATGATTCAAGAGGTCACTGTGGCCATTCATTCAGACCTTTGACATTGTGTTCTCCATATTGTGTAATCTGTAACACGATGTGTCCCATGGGAACACACACACACACACACACACACACTCACTCACTCACTCACACTCTTGCAATCACTTAATCACTCCAAATGTTTTGGCCAAGGTTAGTAGCCATCTTCACTGTAGAATTGGCAGTTTGAGGACAATAATTCAAGATTTCGGAAAGAAAAGTGTTTGATGGATAGGAACGTAATACCTGTCACTGAAAATCAGGCATAACTGTAGATATTCTAAAGAAAAGTAATTCTTTAGTGATTCGCTGAATGACAGCTGAGAAATGATAAGGTTTTTTTCCTCTCCACTGAGGCGCGTTCGTGAAGGGAGATGTATGGAAAAGTAGTGTGCCATCTTTCCTGAATAGGTTTCAGTTCAAAGCAAGAAATTATTTGCAGAGCATGTGGCAATAACTGAGGGTTTTTAATTGCAGGATGCTATTAAATGCCAGTCCAGAATATTGCATTAATGGGAGACAAATTGAGTTTGTAATTACCTCCTTTGCAAATTTCAATTGGTAACATGAAAACACTTATTTCACTTGGGTTAAAGGTTTTAGAACTCAGCAGAACTTTTCAAAGGGACAATGCCAAGAAAACACAGCACTTTGCAGTTCAAGGGCTAACATGTTTTCTGGTACTAGCCTATTATTAAAAAAAATGCTTCTATAATTTCAATTTGAAGAGGATAATGCTCTGCAGTTCCTAAATGAGATGGAGTTTGAATATTTAACATTTCCTAGGGTACAGTTCACAGGTTACGTGTTGATGTGCCAGATGGGCCGGAGCTGGACAAACTAACAGTGGTCTCATTGTACAAGATTCAGCTAGTGAAACCTGTGTAAGGACTTCCACTTGCGCAATGGACTTCTTCTCCTTTCCCTGCATGCCCCTTAAAATTGGCTTGGAGTTGTCAGGAGAACCCCCAAAATAGTGCTCGGAGGGAAGGGGGCATCGTTCTGTCTGGGAAGTTGAAAAGCTTACTCTGACAGAACAATTGCCATGGAGCTGTGCTGAACTCCTTTGGGAGGAACATTTAGCACTAATGTGCAGGGTCTGGGGATTCCAAGAGATGAACTGTTAGTAGAGGAAGATCATTTCAGCTTGTATGTCTAGCTGAGACTTGGTGGAATGACTCCCATTATTTGGAATATAGCAATTGAAAGGAAAAAAATATATGGGGCCATGAGGCAATTGCTACATTGACGGTAAGGTTAAGGAAACATGGAAAGTATAATGACTGGACAGTTGGAAGCTGGTTGAGTAGTATATGAACAGAGAGCTTGGGCTGCAAGTAATGAATGTAGATTACATATTAATATAATTTAATAATAATGACATAAACATTTTTATTCATTTATCTCTTTTTCACTTCTGTAGCATTGGAGGTTTTAAAACATATGCGTTTATAGAAGATTTTTTTAAAAATAAATTCAGACACAGATGTATTTGGAAATTCAAACAAACACACTTGGACTAACCCAAATAGTTGTGTATGTACCTAGGATTTTAAGTCTGTTGCTAGGTTTCCAAAACGTTTGCCTCATTTAAAACAGCCTCTCTTTTCAGTCTGCTGTTCTCTGGAAGACGTTTGTCTTTAATAACCTGTGCTAGTTAAAAAGCTAAAGCTGATTGCCCAGTAGTTGAGTGGGAGATTATATAACGATTAATTTTGGGTTGTTTTTAATTGCTTTGCTAAGCATGTTGTAGTAAACCTAACAGCTGCCACTAAATCAAAATGGCCACATTAATGAATTAATTCCTTGCTGTCCCCTCTTGCTTCTCATGGTGTCAGAGCTGAAATGTTTCCTTTCTGAATACAGATACCCTTTGAACAGAGGATAACTGTTCCTTGCTATAAAGAGCATAGAGGGTTTTATATTCCCAGTTTCTTCTGCCTTTATCTAGATAAGCGAAAATATTTTAAGTATTTATAAATCCAGCATTGTTATGATCTTGTCTAACACGGGAGTGATGGATGGTGGTGATTGGTACCCAGTGTAGCATGTGGGACCTAATTTACTGAAGTGTTCAGTGTTCTTGTTAAGTGTTCCAGTTAGTCATAGAATCATAGAGTTGGAAGGAGCCCCAAGTGTCATCTAGTCAAATCACCTGCAATGCAAGAATCTCAACTAAAGCATCAATGACAGGTGGCCATCCAACCTTTGCCCTTTGTTTCTGTCAGACCTTCTCCCCAAAATCAAGAAATTCAGCATTCTGGAGCTACTGAGCATACCAAGTCCTTCTTAGGATGTCTTTAGGGTTTCCCCCTTAAGTAAGGCTTACTTATGGGTATGTGTGTGTGGTATTTATTACAGCCTAAGACACACTCACATTCTTTCATTGTCCCTTAGTTGGTTTTGAGGACTGTTTGCACCTTGAATTCAGTTTGCTTTTTCAAGTACAGGCATGTTCAATATATTAATATTGTTGGCTGAGCACAGTCATTTTGAAAAGAGTGGGGGCATATATTGTTCCTTTCAAAGCAAGAACAATCTCCTCTGGCTGCACAGTTTGCTATATTATCATCTGCATCTTGTTTAGATCTTTTATCTTTGGTGTGTACAATCACATAGACAGCCCGACTCTTAAAATGCAGCTACCTTAAGCAGTCTGGACAGAAAAGTACCTGACTTCACTCTCTCACCCTTAAGAGTCAGAATTGTCAATTTGTTTCTATATTAAATGTGAAAGTAATTTTGTTTGTAACTCAGGAAATTACAAGTGCAAGAAGAAAAGGATTCCTAGCTGAACACGCTGCCCCATTCTCTGCATTCTTGACGGATGGCTTTGGTCGCCAGCATAACTACTTAAGGATCTCCTTGACTGAGAAATGCAACCTCAGGTGTAAGTCCCTTAAGTTTGAATAGGATAGGAGTGGGGCAATATTGTTTGACTCCAGCTCCCATCAACCCCAGCCAGCACGGCTTCTGCTCAGGCATGATGGGAGTTGTATTCCAGCAAGTTCTGGAGAGCTGCAGGTTCCCCTTCGCTGGAATAGGATCATGATCCTGAAGCCTAAAGATGTGTTTTCATGAGGTAGTTTTACCGGGCATGTTTTCAGCATAGTTGGACTCTTCTTACATACATTACTTATAGCAGCAGGGTTGCCACCCCAGAACCGCTTTAGTGTTGTTGACTATTATTTTGCATAAACAAACAAACAAACAAACCCCTGTGTTGCAAAATATGACTCAGCATAATCGAAAGCAACATGATGGCCAGAAACAATTACAGTATAGAAAACTTTATGGAATAATGCATAACATCAAAACTATCAAACTAAAGTCTCTATAAAGTCTCTCTATAATCTCATGCGATTATGTAGTCACTGTTCAGCAGTGACTACATAATCACATGAGCACTGTTCCAGAGTTTCATTCTCATGGATATTATATCGATTCTAAAAAAGATTGATTAATGAAGAAATTACACATCTTTCTACTTACGAGTTTTTGTTGAACTAATTGGCTGCTGAAGAACGGAACGAAACAGTAGTTGCTATCCAGAAACACTGTTCAGCAGAGTTCAGAGTTGGACATCAGAAATGGACATTTGCCGATTATGCAAAGCTTTACAAGCTTGATCTCTGCCGGGTAATGTCTGGCACTGTGACTTATTCAAGGACTTTCAGAGACTTTAATTTGATAGTTTTGATGTTCTGCATTATTCTATAAAGTTTTTTTCTACTGTAATTGTTTCTGGCTATTGTGTTGCTTTTGATTTTGCTGACTATTATTTTGCGGCAGTTAATACATGTAAGTGGCATCCACAATGGGCAGCTTGGGTCATGGAATAGCATTGCTTCACGAAACACTTTTCTTTCTTTCGGTTCTATTTTATTCTTCCTGTTTATTTAGCAATAGTTACATTTGTCTGTCTGTCTTTTCTTCTTCTTCTTCTTTTTGTTCATTTGCTGCATGTTTCAGGTCAGTACTGTATGCCAGAAGAGGGAGTTCAGCTCACTCCGAAATCTGAACTGCTGAGCACCCAGGAGATAATCACGCTTGCTAGGCTCTTTGTGAAGGAAGGTGTGGACAAGATCCGATTGACCGGAGGAGAGCCTCTCATTCGGCCTGATGTGATTGACATCATAGGTAGGCTTCTCATATAGTTTTGTTCTGCAGTGTTCATGGGATCCTCTCATTTACAAAGCATAGTTTAGAACAGTGTGGGAGATGCTAACCACAGTGCTTTGAAAAATAAGGCAGATCTGTAGGAGCTTTGCTGTATACCAAAGGATGGAATTAAAGCCGTTCTGTCAGCTTTGTCCTCTTTTTTTGTATCTCAGTGGATTTCTTTTTCTCATCTTCAGACATTTCTGAAAGTTAGCAATGTATGACTATTATGAAATACTCGAGTATGCGAGAATAGGTCTCCTGCAATATTTGCTTACTAAGAAAACGGCATCTTTCAAAATCTTTTGCACACACTCCATTTTACACCTTCTTAGTTTTACTTTGCATGTTATATTAATTAATTGCATGTTATATATGTTAATAGATATATTAGATATATTAATAGATATAACTTCTGCATAGGAAAAGTGTGTACAATGGCAGTGTCAAGTGCAAGCCACTTTCTGCAGTGCAATGGTTGTCCCACCAGTGTAATTACAGGCACTGAAACCCTACATCACAGTTTGTGTGTTACTTTATGTGTGTTTTTCCTCCACAGTTAAAATGTCCTTGGCTAATGGGGCTAAGGTGGTTGAGCTTTGCATGCAGAAGGCCCCAGGTTAAGTCCCTCCAGTATCTCCAGTTTAAAGGACCAGAGAGCAGACTGCCTGTGACCCTAGAGCAGTGGTGGCCATACTTGGCCCTCCAGCTGTTTTTGGACTACAACTCCCATCATCCCTAGCTAACAGTGGTCAGGGATGATGGGAATTGTAGTCCCAAAACACCTAGAGGGCCAGGTTTGGCCCTAGAGGGCTGCAGCTGGTCAGGGTGGGCAGTATGGGAGTAATAATCTGATGTGGAATACAGAGTTTCCTATGTGTCATCCAAGATCATGGGTGATAAGCAGGATGTATGCGGTAAATTGTTGCTGTCTTTCCAGGAACACTAGGGTACAAAAATTGACTTCCAATTTAAGAGTGCGTGATAAGAACCAATGTCTGAAAGTCTTCTTGTATTTATTATTTGCAAGTGCTACTTTTGCAAGACACACAGAGTGGGGTGGGTTATAAATATAAAAATATGAATATAAAAGTAATAATAATAATAATAATAATAATTAATAATAGTGTGTGATGGAAGCATTTGACAGTTGTTTTCACCCCCTCCCTGGGTTCTTTGTTTTGTCTTATACCCGTTCACCTGTTTGTCATTTATTCTTACTTATTTTTGTTAATATTCTTTTTCTTTACTATGTTTTCCCAGCTCAGATGCGCAAACTAGAAGGGTTGCAAACCATTGCTGTCACAACCAATGGTATTAACTTGGCCAGATTGTTGCCCCGGTTAAAGGAGGCCGGGCTGAATGCCATTAACATCAGTTTGGACACCTTGGTCCCAGCAAAATTTGAATTCATTGTCCGTCGAAAAGGTATAACTGGAAGCTTGCTGTGATTTCCACCATAATGTTTTTTAGCATTTCCATTGTTATATCCTGCATAGTGTCTGTCTGGTTACAAGATGATGTCAAATGGGAAACGAAGGCTGACCATCTCTGCCATCTCTTTCACAGTCAGAACTCCCTTTTCATTGCAGCCCACTGTATAGAGATGAATATTCAGGAATTAATAATCAGATAGCTTGCTGTTTGTGTGACTCATACTTTACTTATTTAGCAGAGATGGCATGCTACAACTGAGAAGGCTTGTAATCTACATTAGACTGGGCAAATTGAGATAAAAGGAAAAAGGAAAGAGCTTTATAAAAGAATAGTAAAAAGTAGTTAATTTGCATTGCTTAATGTGGAACACTGGTGGTTTCAGAAAGACTCTGCTGATTTTTATTTTAAGAAAAGGGGGGGGAGTTATGGCAGGTAGCTTGATAAATAGTTGGCTAAAGTTTGACAAATAGTTCCATCTTAAAGAAGGAATGGCAAAGAAGACCCCAAGGAACTCACAGTAAAGCAGAGTCCCACAAAGAGCAGAGAACAAGGAGAACCATAAATGACTTTGCAAATTCAGTGCCAATCCAGGTTTTTCGTGCTACAGATCCCATCAGCCCTTTTAGTCCAAAACATCTGGAGGGCATTAGGTTGGAGAAGGCTGCCTTAAACGGCAAGAGCAGGAAACATGGAATTGATGTGGAAAGTCAAGAGAACACATACAGAGACCTAAGGCAAGGTGTGTTGTTGTCTTAGTAAGAGGTGAAAAAGGGATGGATTGTGTCAGGCAGTGTGGTGGTTGCTCACGAGGAACCAGGCAGGACTCCGACCTGTCTTTAGCAGGTTTTTATTAGTGCAAACTATTTACAGTGCAGGACCAGAAAGTTCATGTTTGTCTCAATCACTTGCAGATTCCGGGAGTGGCCCCTTCCGGTTTCCCCTCCAGCATAAGAACTTAGACACCCCAAATCTCCGCCTTCCCTCCTTGCGTTTCAGCCCTCTGCGTAAACTGGGCGACGGAAATGGCATACCTGTTTCCTGGCTGGCCGGGCTTGGTGAGGCGCTTGAGCTCTCAGTAGCATCTTTGAGCCCTCCCCTTGCTTGGCTTTCCCATTCCGTCTCTGCTCCACTGGAGGTGTGGCTTTCCCCATCATTGGATGAGGAGCTGCTTCTCAGGAGCGTGGGCGGCTCTCTGTATTCCCATGGCTCCCTCCCCTGTCCCAATGGAAGCTCCCTGACAGATTGTAAACAAGAGCATTCTAGACTGAGATAAGGATGTTCAGTTCAGTTGCTTCATCTGTAGTTCATAACAGCAACAGTATAGCAGCTGAAACCAAAACCAATATTAAAATCAAGTCCCATTAGTATGGGATATCAATTAGTGACATGTCAAATATCCAATTTACAATCAACTACATATGCATTTAATAGGTTTCTTGGCATCTTGAAGCAGCCTTAGCCATAATTCAGGTGCTTTTGCTGAACTTGACCAGTGTACATGCTTGTAGGAATAAATCACCAAGGAACATATTCTGCACATTTTCATAATGGGTCCACAGAACATGGAGTGTGGAATGCCTTCCATTGCTTCCTCAATGCAGATGCAGTATCTTAAATTAAAAGGCTCATTATAATACTGCTAATGGGGGGGAAAGCCACTTGTTGAAATGTCAACAGCTGTTCTCTGCTCAAACCTAAATCAATCAATTGGATGTTCAAGGCCATCGTTGATAAAATAATAAAATGCCATCGTTGAATATCAGGGTGTTTTATTATTAGCCGATAAAACTAAATTATTCTGGACAAAAATACTTTAGCTGGTTATAAATCCCAACTTGGTGACGGCTGTTCTAGAATCTAACACACACGTGGCCCAAAAATACCCTTGCCAAGAAATCATACAGTTGGCTTATTTTCTAGGGCTACTTCACAGAAGTGAGAAGCCCTCTGTCCCCCATATTATAATGGTAGGGCCTCAGCACTGAATGAAAATGAATACATTCCCCCGCCTGCCCCCAAAGGTGCCAAGAATGTGCTCCTTTTTGTGAGGCTTAAATGGTCCTGCAAAATTGGGATAGAAGCCTAGAAGTAACGTTCGCATACTTTCCTGTGGGGTGATTACAGCAGATTTTTCAGATATAAGTTTGGAAGGTTTAACTTGTGGGGGGGGGGAGAAGCAAATGGCAATTTGAGCCATTTGGCAGTAGTGGCAGGAAACAGGAATAATATTGCTTCAACAGAGCCTGTCACATGCACAACAACAACTCTGAAGCCAGACTTTGAATGGCAAGCTTGTTCCAGTTTTCAGCCTGTTCTTTAGAGATGAAATGTGGTTCCATAGCCACTAGATGGTGCCCCGATATCGTTTTAATCAAACGTACACTTTTTAAAAAATCCAATAAAAAGTGTCTTTAATAGGTTCAAGATGTTAGTACATTTCCTTTTCGTTTCTAAATATGGATTGTGCTATGTTTGGGAATCTCTGCAGAGATGTGAGAGACTGACCTTTACCTACATATGATAATGTATCAAATTATAGAAATCGTATTGCGCAGTTGCGTAGGTCTGCTAAAACCAACATGGAAATCTGCAAATCCAGTGCAGTACATCCTATTTGGTGTAATGGCCAGGGCAGTTGTGACTTAACCAATGCTTTGGACAGAGATTCATAGTTTGGTCATGTAACCCGATTCGGTCAGCGACGATTCCTTCTGTGAACATGCAAGGCATTAAGATGATGGGGGCTGCTGAGCTCAGAGACAAACTTCATCCAAGCATTTTGTAAATGAACAAGATATAGTGATGGCTACAAACTCTGAAAGAGGCTTTAAACACATTCAGTTGAAACAGAAAAGTCTCTTTATGGCTGATAGCCAGAATGGCTACATGCTACTTCCAGGACCAGAAGCGGTTTGCCTCTACATACCAATCACTGGGGGGACAGCAGCAGGAGAGGGCATCAGGTTTTGATTCCTGTGAGGAACAAGATGCTTGGCTTGATGGGTCTCTGGTCTGATCAGATGGACTGCTCTTAGGTCCTTCATCTCACTCTCTGTGGAATGTCTGGGAAGGAAGATTCAAGTTTGACTGAGCTTATTCTCTGCAGAGGAATGATCTGTCCAGATGTCAGGCTATCTCTTTGCAGATCATCCCTGACATGCCCATTAGGAAAACAAGCTGGTATGAATTGCCTAGATGTTAGTTTGTAATTGTCTTAACGCTTGATTGCTTGTGTTCCGATTACTTGGTTCTGAATTGTCTTACGACTTTCCTAAAGTCATGCAAATGGCCCCTTTCTTTCCTGCCCTTTTTCTAAGCCTTTCCGTAAAGGTCTTGTTCCTGAGAGTAGCTCCTCGGTGTTTATCATCATATGTTATACTCTCAGGCGCCATGTTATTTTTGCAGTCTTATTTTATCAAAATAAACCTTGCATTCGATGTCGTAGGTTTTCTTAGTCACAGGAAGCAGAAGCAGCAAACCAGTTTTGGCATCAGGCAACTGATGTGATATTCCAATTTGTTTATTTGAACCTTATACCTCAGTCTTTGCCAACCTGGTGCCCCATATGTTTTTGGACTACAATTCCTATCAGATATAGTCCAAAATATGTGGAGGGAACCAGGTTGGCAACGGCTATTATACCTTTTGCCAGGCTTCTTCGCCATTTCACTGTGCTATTGCTCTCATCTCTTGGGAGAACAGCATCTCTCAGCCCCCCTGCCCAGCCCTGGGAGATATGTTTTGTGGTCTCTGTGTGGGCTTAGCTTCTATTTTCAAATAGCAGCCCATGTATTTATCCCAGCTTTCCTCCCAAAGGAGCTCAGGGGAGGAAAGATCCATGCCACGTGACAACTGCTTTTAAAACTGGGGAAAGTTTCAAAAGCAGTTTGGGAAATGTCCAGGTGGGTAGGGGCATCTGTTCAACAAACATAAATAACTTGTGTGGTCAGTGTCCAGACATGTCAGAAGTGATGGCTGCTAATTACCTGAGCAAAGCAGCCTTTCCCTATGAGATGGAAAGTAACTGATTCTGCTGTTTGATAACAATCTGCCACAAAAATACAAATTTGTGAACTGTTGGGAAGTTTTATGTTACACTTGACATCAAAGTCATATAGTTTCCCAATATTGGGTTTTTAATGTCAGAAGACAGACGTTATGTGTTTGACTCTAACTGATTTTTTTATTGAATTCAGTTTATATTTTAAGAAAGAACCCCATATATATGTGTGTGTGAGTGCATATCTTATGTGTATAGTGTATGTATAAATATATGAATGTGTGCATTTCATGTGTGTTTATATTTAGAAAAAAATATTTTTATCTGTCCTGTGTCAGAGCTGATTTTTGTTTATATTTTAGGTTTCCATAAGGTAATGGAAGGGATCCAAAAAGCCCTTGAACTTGGGTATGATCCTGTTAAGGTGAGAATTATTATCTTCTTGATGCATGTTTTTGGCTGGTACCACTGTTGCTGAATAAAAAATGGGAAACACAACTGAGTGTAGAGATTCTATCCAGATAATTGAGTTCTGAAATAAATTCTTAATACCCAACTTTAGGGTTTTCTTTAAAGAAACAAGTAATGGAAAAAGGGTTCTTTTGCAGTGATAATCCTTCTGAGCTTTTATCTTGATCGCCACTTATTCTGTGATGTGCATGATGTTGCCATAGACATATTCAGTTTAGTCAGCTGGCTTTTCCTTCCTCCTAGGTGAACTGTGTAGTTATGAGAGGTCTTAATGAAGATGAGCTGGTAGATTTCGTGGCTCTGACGGAGAAGCAGCCCCTGGATGTGCGCTTCATAGAATACATGCCTTTTGATGGTGAGCATTTCAGCACCCCTGGCTGTCCTTTGGCTGAGAAAATGGATGATGCTGAATTGAGCAATTCCCACTTCTCCCGAAGTTGGTGATGGGATGTTGACCAAGGGCGGGTCTACAGCTTCTGTGGCCTTGAGAGCTTTCTTGTTTGGAAAGGAGACAAATGAAATTCTGGGGAATGCTTTATTTTATATCTTTCTGTGTGATCCTAGACAGAAAATAATACGTCACAAAATAAGCCTTCTGTTGCACTGTCACTGCTGCACACGTTGCACAGCAATATTGGTTCTCTTCTCATTCTAGGCAACAAGTGGAACTTCAGGAAAATGGTGAGCTATAAGGAGATGCTCGATACAATCAAGCAGAGATGGCCAGAGCTGGAAAAAGTGCCTTGTGAAGAAGCCTCTAGCACTGCTAAGGTGATTAATGCAGTAGGATCAAAGGGAGCCCAGAAGTTCTGCAAAGTTCAGGGCTTGCTTATAAGCCAATGCAATTAGCTCTTGAAGGGAAAATTGAAATGGCTGCGATGGTCCTGGTAGATGCCTGCCCACATACTGTCAACAGTTGTGACAGTCATGATTAAAGGATTATGATATTGGAGAGAATCTGCCCACTAAAATGAAACTGACTGCGGGAGGATAGAGAATGACTTAACTCCTTCTTTTGGATATATAAATATGATGTTTTTCCTGTAAGGTTATAAAAGTTGTAAGAATAGATGCAGCTGCATACATGTGAGTACCATGTTCATATGGTGTACCTATAGCAAGAGCTTATTCTTGCCACATGTAAGTCATATTTTGAAACTGTTTGGGAAAGCCATGTGCGAAGCAGTCCTCAAGATTGCTTCATGTGTGACAAACGTCTTCCAGGGCAATGATTTCAATGAAGGAAATTACTTGTAATTTGTTTTTAGATTATCCTGTGATAATTGCATATGCTCATATTCTGTTTATGTCTTTATATTTTTCAATGTATTTGGGGTTTGTTACTTGCTTCCATTTTTCCAAATACTTAAAACCAGGTAGCGATGCTTTCCTCCCTTCCACTTCTAGGATGGCCATTGTGGCTAACTCCTCTCCTCTCACATTAAATGGAAAGCTAGCCACTATATTTCAAGCTGTCTGAAATTTAAAGAGGCCATCTGAAAAAACCCAGAACATTGGTGCACATATAGCATAGGTTTGCTGGCAAGTAAACAGGAGAGAGTCCAGTTTAGTTGAAGGCCTGGCTCTATTGTTGCTAAACCTTGCATTTAAATTATGTGATTTGCAGTGTTTAATTGGCTTTTCATTTGAGTTATGATTTATGATTTGGTATGATTTGATTTGTTGTTAATTGGAATACTATTAATGAAAAATTAATTAAAAATTATTTACAAAGAAAAAGAAAAACCAGGTAGCAGTGAAGAAAAGTGAAATGCTTTTTAAGATGTGGAAATCAAGCATGGAGAAAATAGAAATCCTATCAGAATTATTAATAGCAATAGTGCTTCATAGGCTGCAATTCATAAAGTATGAACCTCAAAGATTTCCAGGAAGGGATTTTGCGTAAGAATCTTTGTAGGTTTGCTGGAAAAAAAACATTTTCTTACACATTGAGAGTTTTATGCGTGTATTCTGTTGCCTTTACATGTGCATAGATTATGGAATCCATGACCAACTGTGATTTTTCAGAATTTATACACTTGACCAAGCCCAGTTGTTATACATGATCTACAGATGGTTACTTTCCACTCCAAACTTTGTCCCTTTGAACAAGTTTTAAAGTAAACATCATCTCGTCACATTTTGCTGAAATGCCGCCAGGGATCTGTTGTGGAATCTTCCGTTTGCATACGTATTGAGGCAAAACTCGCACAAGCAGATTTTACAGGAAAATTTTGGTATGAAGATAAGAAGCTCCGTAATTCTGGCAGCTACTCTTAATCAGATGTGGCCCTACATAGTGAAAGAGTGATACAGCCATGAAGAGTGAACTGTTCATTTTTCAGCATTGGTTTCACACATATGTACTGAACAATTTTTCAGTTTGTAGTTAGATTTCCTTCTGGCAACTTACCTTGGATTTAGCCTGTGCAGTATCTTCACCTCTTCAGTGGTGAAGGAAGGGGAGTGTGGGGGCTGCAGGCCACCCCGGGTGTCATCAATGGGGGGGGTGAGAAAATGACAAAAATATGAGGGTTTTTTTTAAAATGGGCTCATGAAACTTTTTAGTTCAGTCAACAAACATAATGAGACGCAGCTGGCACTGGGCGCCACACCACGGGGGCTGGCACTTACCGTGGGGCCTGCAGCGTGCCTGAGCCACGCATCTCTCCTGGGAGTGAACTGGTAGCTTGGCGCTTGCAGGCTCCACGCTGCCTAAAATGGCAGCGTGGGACTTGTGTCTGCCGCCCTACAGCTGAAGGGGAAACAGCAGAGAGGCTCCATGCCGTGCGCCCTGCCCCCAAATGCAGGACGCACATGCCACACCCGAGCGGCTAGCTTACGCCGCTGCGTCTCTTACTCCTGTTTTCATTAACTGGAATAGGATGATGCTGAAGCCAGTTAAGTAAGATATTAACGAAGATGTGCTTCAACTTATCTCTCTGTTTTCTCTTTCTCAATCCATGCCTGGGTCACAACAGGCATATAAGGTGCCGCGTTTTCAGGGACAAGTCAGCTTCATCACCTCAATGTCTGAACACTTCTGTGGATCCTGTAATCGACTGAGGATCACAGCTGATGGAAACTTGAAGGTAGGAGCACAATGTTATTCGCCAGCTTCATCTGGGCCGTTAGAGTGCTTACATGATTATATAACCTGCATCAAGTGCACACAAAATTGTCATTGCATTGCATCCAAAATGGGCCAGAAGTCATTGGATGATTGCTGCCTAGTTAGACTCAAGTGGTAAATCAAATAACAGTCCCTGTTGGATCCTACTGTAGATTTTTGTTTTGCTATTGGAAAGAACAATTATGTCTTTTTCCTTGGCTCTCGGTGTTGCAGAAACTGCCTTGTTTTCATAATGCAGCATATTTGAGCTGTTAAACTAATTGGTGAGAAGTCTCTGAAGATAAACACATTGTGTAGCTTTTTTATGTTAAATCCTCTTAAATTGGCAGCAGGAATGCTACTCTTGGTAATGTGACTGGGAGGGTGTGGGTTTTCTTCTTTGCCAGTATCCAGTTTCATTGCAGAACTCTGCCTGATCTGTCAAATCAGACATATGTTGCACAGACTGAATTGGGGGCCGGGATGGGGGTGGGGCTAGGAGGAAGAACGCTTCCTGCCACGTTATGCTTCCTGCGATGTTGTGTTTTTAAAATTAGCTTTCAATTAAATATTGGCACTTCCCACCCAGCGGTGACAGCCTTGCTTCCTGATCCCCGCCCTCCAAAATTTTCTGCAGTTGAGAAAGTCATGGCTATTGCCTTCAAATGTCCCTTTGACCACCAATCCTCAAATGGGTGGGAATGGACTGCCCAAGGGGGGCTGATTCACTTTTGGGCAGAGTATAATTAAAGACGGATCTGGAGATAAAAACCTTTTGAGGATGTTTCATGCCCTCAAAGTTGATGCATCCAGGCAACCAGGGTTATATGATTCTCTCTCCTCTCATCCTTTTTTTTACAGGTGTGCCTTTTTGGAAATGCAGAAGTGTCCTTGCGAGATCACTTACGATCTAATGCCTCAGAAGAAGAATTGGTTCAAATCATTGGGGCAGCTGTTGGCAGGAAAAAGAAACAACATGCAGGTATTTTGTTTTACGATTCCAAGTTGTATAGGCTGCATTGTGCACTTCATTTAAGAGCGATTGCATTGCCATAGTGCCTAATAAAATATATGACCATAGGACTTTATCTATCTCTCCATCTATTTCTGTCTGTCCTGCAGTCCTACTATTTTTTTTTTAGCATGAGAGGATCCTGTTTTACGCTGAAAGTGTTAAGTGCAACTTAAGCGGCTGCTGGTCACATTATTTACCTGGTCACACATTTTCCACCTAATTTTTAGTCCCACATAGCAACACAAATACAGCTGGTTACGTTGTGACAGTGTGAAAGTTTCAGTTGTTGCAAATTTGTATTCATGAATTTTCCTGTGTTTTAGTAGTTGCTCGATTTGCCTAGTAGGTGGCAAATAAAAGCTGCTGTTGACCCAGGGATCTGGAAGCCTGGAGTGGTAGACAGGCAGAGTCAAAAGAAACAATATGTGGCCTCTATTTAACCAGGAATAGGGGGTCCATTTTATAATAATAATAATAATAATAATAATAATAATAATAATAATAATAATAATAATAATTTATTATTTATACCTCGCCCATCTGGCTGGGCCTCCCCAGCCACTCTGGGCGGCTTCCATAGAAACCAAAAATACAGTAAAATATCACACGTTAAAAACTTCCCTGAACAGGGATGCCTTAAGATGTCTTCTGAATGTCAGGTAGTTGTTATCGCTTTGACATCTGCTGGAAGGGTGTTCCACAGGGCGGGCGCCACTACCGAAAAGGCCCTCTGCCTGGTTCCCTGTAGCTTTGCTTCTCGCAATGAGGGAACCGCCAGAAGGCCCTCGGCGCTGGACCTCAGCGTCCGGGCAGAATGATGGGGGTGGAGACGCTCCTTCAGGTATACTGGACCGAGGCCGTTCTTAGCTAAGGTTTTTACACCTTCATGCCTTTTATTGTCTTGTTGTCAATGAGATGACACCAGAGCCCTAGGAATCATCCAGAATTCTGCCGCCAGAAGACACAAACCTTATTATAGTTGTTTCTGAGGTCAAAGGTGAACCTCTGTAGGGAAACATTGATAAATCCGAGGCACATGTCTGGCTTTGCTAGAGCCCTGCTATTTCAGGTCCTGTTGTGCCATTCTACCTTCTAACCCAATCCTTCTCCACTAGTTTGCTACAGGAACCTGGCTGCCCATTTCCCATGCGAACTGTTTAACATCAGTTCTGCTTCAGGAGGTTCAAACAGTTTCCTTTTTCGTTTGAGGAGGATGTTAAAGAAGCCCATTTGTTGGGATGAATTCTTCATCTCTGTGCTTCTGAATACTTTTTCCTTATCAGGACTGGCTAACTAGATGTCTTGAATGCTAACATCTATGCTATTCCTTGCACTTTGCAAGTATTGTTTCCATTTACAATACAAAGCCAATATGACTTAAAATCCTCAGCATCCTCTAATTCTTGTCTGTCTATCCTTTATTTCTTCCCAGGCATGTTCAACATTTCCCAGATGAAGAACAGACCAATGATCCTCATTGGTGGGTGACCAATCAGTACGTAATAAACCATATCACAATGCTGTATTTACATTTGCCCCTTGGGGAAAGAGTCAGTCTTTTCCTAGGCTAAGTGTGTTTGAATTTTTAAAGAGGTGTACAAACAGCTTTTAAAAACAGCTCACAAGGAGAAATTGCATGTTACTTGGCAAAAACTCTTGCGATCTCTTTGGCCATTCACTTCCACCTTTTGCTGAGTGTACAACTTGTTTATTCATTCTCATGGGGGTTTATGAGCTGTCTGTCTTTTTCTCTCCGTAGCCTGTAGGTAAGCAGTTTATAGCGAAGGGGTATCTCATTCTCTCTGTGTTCTTCTCAGCTGCTTTAAAATTGGGCGCATTGCCAGAATTACATAGTTGGGATTCGGATAACTTGGGAACGGGAACAATTAGCTACTAGCACTTCCACAGCATGGGAGAACTATGTGGTGAGCCAGTACTCATCCCACTGGCGCTCTATTGAGATAGGTTTGGGGACTTGCCTGTAATTCAACAAGACATTTTGGGGAGAGCGAAGGAAGCTCGATGCAAAGATGGGACCCCTCTAGCTGGCTTTGGAATGGCAGGCAGGCTGCCTACAGTCTGTTTACGCAGCTAAGAGCTGGATTGAGTCTGACAAGCGTGCATTCAGCATCTCGGGAAAACTAACCACTGGCATTCTCTGTACAAACAGTCTGGTTTCTGTGACCAGAGTTGAGCCAGCTTTGTCATGACACGCAGGCTAGCCGAGGCATATGGAGAATGACTAGAAGGGCCTCCTAATTTGGACTTCAGGCTGATTGCATGGTTCCCCCAAAGTCAGCTAGCATGTAAACAGGCAGAAGGAAGCGGTTGGAGAACACACCAAGGAGGTGTTGAGGGAATGTAGCTTCCACTGCCACTGAGTGCTGTGCAAAGAATTAGTTGTGCTGCTCTGCTGCCTTAGCATATTTCCACACTTCCCTTCACTGCTTTATGGGGATTTTCCATTGTTTCCCTTTGGCATCTTGCTTCACATAGGCTCATTGGCAGGAGAGTGCCGGCGGGGAGCGGGGGGAGTTTGACAATTGCAAAAAGCGAAGTATAAGATCTATATAGCATAGACATTAATGAGAACTGTGAGTTGGCAGCACTGGATTCTAGAGCATAGACACTGTCTTTTTAAGCCCCTCATTTCCCTAATCTGTATGTTGTGCTCCTTCCTCTTCCTGCATGTATATGCAGTTGTAACCAAGCAGACCTAGAAGCACAGCCCATGATAGAATGTATATTCACTGTGCCTTATCCCTTGCAAAGTACTAGGGCGATGCTTTCCCCCTTCCATTGCTAGGATGGCCATTGTGGCTAGCTCCTCTCCCATCACATAAAATGGAAAGCTAGCCACTATATTTCAAGCTGTCTGAAACTTAAAGAGGCCATCTGGGGGGGAAAGCAGAATATTGGTGCACATATAGCATAGGTTTGCTGGCAAGTGAACAGGAGAGAGTCCAGTTTAGTTGGAGGCCTGGCTCTATTGCTTGCTTAACCTCACATTTAATCCCAGACCTATGGAGAAGGGCAGGCTTTCCCCTTTCAAATTCCATATGGTATTTGGTTGCAGGTGGCACCTAAGTAATATTTCCCCATTTCCCCCTGCTTGTTAATGAGCATCCTGGACTGCAGGGGTGTGGACCCCAGATCTCTTTGTCTGGCCCTTGGGACTCTCCTCAAGTCATTCCCCACTCATGGTCCCTGCCCTGCAATCTCCTTTAATGTGTCCTTGAAATGTGAGGATGCCTCTTATTTTATCAATGGAGAGAGGGATGTGTATGTGTGAGAGAGAGAGAAAGAGAGAGAGAGAGAGAGAGACCTCTGGCTCTTCATGGCCAGAATGTAGCCTACTGTAGAAAATAATGATGATGATGATAATAATAATAATAATAATAATAATAATAATAATAATAATAATATATAAATTTATTTATATCCCGCCCTCCCCAGCCGAAGCTGGGCTCAGGGCGGCTAACAACAATCAAAATAGTCCAACATTCTAAAAACATTCATTATAAAATTAAATCAAATTAAAATCAAATTAATGGCAACCATCAAGCAAAATTCTGTGCAGATTGCCAGAGGAGGGGGTCAGGCTGCGCCCTGACCAAAGGCCTGGTGGAACAGCTCTGTCTTGCAGGCCCTGCGGAAGGATGTCAGGTCCTGCAGGGCCCTAGTCTCTTGTGACAGAGCGTTCCACCAGATTGGAGCCGCGGCCGAGAAAGCCCTGGCTCTAGTTGAGGCCAGCCTAACCTCTCTGTGGCCTGGGATCTTTAGGATGTTTTTATTTGCAGACCATAAATTTCTCTGTGGGACATACCAGGAGAGGCGGTCCCGTAGGTACGAGGGTCCTAGGCCGTATAGGGCTTTAAAGGTTAAAACCAGCACCTTAAACCTGTTCCTGTACTCCACCGGGAGCCAGTGCAGCTGGTATAGTACCGGATGGATATGATCTCGCAGCGAAGACCCCATAAGGAGTCTCGCCGTGGCATTCTGCACCCGCTGGAGTTTCTGGATCAGTCTCAAGGGCAGCCCCACGTAGAGCGAGTTACAATAATCCAGTCTGGAGGTGACCGTCGCGTGGATCACAGTGGCTAGGTCAGGGCGAGAGAGATAAGGAGCCAACTGCTTAGCTTGGCGGAGATGAAAAAATGCCGCCTTTGTTATAGCTGTAATCTGCGCCTCCATAGAGCAGGAGGTATCGAAGATTACACCCAAACTCTTAACGGACGATGCTGGCACTAATTGCACCCCCGCAAGAGATGGGAGTTGCCCCCTAAATCCCATATCGCTCCGTCCCAGCCAGAGGACCTCTGTCTTCGACGGATTTAACTTCAACCGGCTCCCACGTAACCATCCAGCCACAGCTTCCAGACATCTGGAAAAGCAAGCATCACATCCATAGCCCCACCCACCTTTTGCCTCTGCACCTTCCACGCCCCCTGGCATGCCCTCCCCAGCGAGCTGCCTATGAAGGGATGCAGCCCTTGGCTGAAAACCACTTCCCCACTCCCATTGCTCCGCCTACTCACGTCACCTATAGGAAATTCCCACAGATCATTTGAGCATGTGGCAGGCATCTTCCATCACTTTTTCAGCATTCTTGGTCCCTGGCAAACATGATGGAATTTTAACCCTCAACCTCTTTGGCTGGCAACATTCCAAAATGTATTTGGAACCTCTTCTTCTGAATTACTTTGTCTGTGTTGGGAGAGGAGGAAGTGATATTCAAAATCTTCCAGAGCATTTGCAGTCCAGGGGAACCAGCTATGAATACATCCATCGTTATTTATTTGTGGGGCAACTAGCTGTAAATCCACGGTGAGGAAAATGGTGCTTGCTAAGTACACTTCTCCAATCTTTCTGAAACATCTTATGCTCCTGGTCAAGCCCTGTACTGTTGGACCAAACTTGTAAAAAAGTGCATTCCTTGCGATATGATCTTTCCTGTTGGAAGGTAGCTGTGCTGCAGGAGTGCTCTTTTGATATTGAGAGTTTTTGCACCCCAAAATTAGAGCCTCTGAGTGCTCCAGCATTTCTAAAAGAAGGGACACATTCTCTTATATGAAAAGACCTTGAATCCTTTGTAAGGATTCATCTTAAAGACATAGCTGGTCTGTGAGCTGAACTGCACCAAGCCTTGCCTCATCTCTCTGCTGCTGGAAATGAAATAGGACTGCTGGGGGAACAGAAGCTTCCCAGGGAAGCAGGAAAAAACCGTGTGCTGAGACTTCTTAAAGGTACACATCATTAAAAAGTGCTTTGGCTACTGCTTTACATCTCCCCCCCCCTTCTCCCTCCCTTGCTCATAAAGAGAATTGCTGCCATTATGTTTAACAGGCTCCTTTTGACTTGGTCCTTGGCACTGGACACTGGAATTACCACAGCCAAGGGATTAATGAGAAGGGCAGAGAGGGCTGGTTCCCAGTGGACTTGGAACTGAACCTGGCAAAGCTCCCAGCCAGAGCAAAGGTAACGCGTGTCAGCGAGGGAATCTGAGCTTGCCGCAGCAAAGCTCCAAACATGACGTGTCTGTTGTTAACACAGCGAGAGCTGGCAACAGCAAGTGACTCCTTTTTATTGTAGTCGCTTGAAGTTGGGGCTACTGCTCCAAAAGGAGTAAGTCTACGTTGCAGCTTCCTTTCCCATTCTCGGCACTTGGAAGAAGGAGCAGGCAACGGCTTTGCATCAGGAGTAGCGTACTGTAAAAAGCCTAAGACGGCACCACAATTCATCGTACTTACTCTTAGCTCAGTTTAATGAGACACTGCTTTGAGCTTGACAGAGTGTGTTTGGGGGTAGGGCTGTAGCTTTGGGATAGATATCAGCTTTGCTTGCAGAAGATCCCTGGTTCCCTGGCATCTCCAGGTACAGCTGCTAATGTCCCCTGCCTGAAAACCTGGATAGCTGCTGCCACTCAGTGTAGAGAGTATTGAACTTGATGAACCAATTGAGTGGACATGAGGCAGCTTCCTATGTTCCTAAATATATGCATGACCACGAAGCCAGCAGCCTCATGAGTGATCTTGTAGGTGAATATATTTATGTGGGCTACAGTATAGAGGGCTACACAGATAGCTTTCCCACCCCAGGCCACCAGCCTTCTAGCCATCAAGCAAGCTGCTTCTCAAACAATTTTAGAAGGGATATTTGAGGTTATTGGGTCAAGCCCCCTTGATCAGGGCAGGAATCTTGCAACTACAGAATCTCTGCCAGACACAGAGCCTCTGCTGGAGTATGCCCATCACCGCTCTAGGTTCTTGCCATTGGGAAGCGTCTCCTAATGTTTAGCAGGAGATCCCTTCCCTGCAATTTTCATCTGCTAGTTCCAGAATTGCCCTCTGGATGTGTGAAATAGAGAACAAGTCTCCTCCGTCTTTTAAGTGACAAGTCCTTTGGACGTTAGAGTGCAGCTATCGTGTCTCCTTTTAGCCTTCTCTCCTCCAGGCCAAACATGCCCAGCTTTTCAATCCTTCCTCATGGGCCTTGGTTTCTAGACCTCTTGCCAGCTGGTTGCCCTCCTGTTTGTTTCTCGATTGCTATTCAGACAAAGTCAAAAGCGTCTTTAAAAGGTAAAAGGTAAAGGTACCCCTGCCCGTACAGGCCAGTCTTGACAGACTCTAGGGTTGTGCGCCCATCTCACTCAAGAGGCCAGGGGCCAGCACTGTCCGGAGACACTTCCGGGTCACGTGGCCAGTGTGACAAGCTGCATCTGGTGAGCCAGCGCAGCACACGGAACGCCGTTTACCTTCCCGCTGGTAAGCGGTCCCTATTTATCTACTTGCACCCGAAGGTGCTTTCGAACTGCTAGGTTGGCAGGCGCTGGGACTGAACGACGGGAGCGCACCCCACCGCGGGGATTCGAACCGCCGACCTTTCAATCGGCAAGTCCTAGGCGCTGAGGCTTTAACCCACAGCACCACCCGTGTCCCAAAAAAGCGTCTTTAGGTGCATTCAAATGGCTGGGTACAGGGAAAGGTGCTCTGTGCCTTTCAGTTGCAGTGTGCTGAAGCTTAGTAGTGGAGCCTTAGTTTTGTGCATGAGTTCATGCACAAATTAGAAGCTGGCCTCTTATTCACAGTCCAGTGCATCCTTTAGATTCCTCATGGATCCTCATACTTATTATTTTTAAAATATGTTGATAGCCCTTGTGACCATGAAGAAAATTGTTTTAAAATGGCACCATTATCTGCTTGAGATTTGATATATGTGGAGCTTTTTAGAGACAGAAATGGGAGCATGTCATTCTGCATGCTCCATTCTTCCCCACAGACCCATTTAGTTCCTGTTCATTCCTGCACTGCAGATTCTCACTAGTATTCCGCTAGTCAGCATTTCTTTCCACACTTCTTGTGTTCAGTTAGATGATTCTAGAATAGGGAGTAAACTGCTAGCTTTTCAGAATGGCTTTAGTAGCCATAATTTAACCCTGTGCTGAAAATTTCTTCTATCCCTTCCCCCATCATTCTCTTGTCAAGTGATAAAAAGAAACTGCATTTGAAAATTATCAAAGTGGGGAGGGGGGATGTGAGTAAAATTCTGATGGGTGGGGGTACAGGGTTTTTGCTGGACTGGGGGATTTTGTGAGTGTCTTTTCATTCTGCAAGTCAACTCTGATGATCTGCCTTCTGTAGCCTTCGCATGTGCCTGTGTTTCCTGAAAACTATGACATCAGCAGCTGATCTTTTCTGTAAATGGAAGCTATCTCCCACCCCCCCTGACAACCATTCATTAACTTTTTTAAAAAGTGAAGCATTTTTACTTTTAAAGAATTGGTGTGAAAATAATATATTTTTTTTAAGTGGCCAAGGATTCCCGTGTAAATAGAAGCAGCAAACACACCAGCCTGCCCAGCTGCCTGCACTTCAGCTAAAGCCCAGGGAGGTCACTCCTGTCTTGGAGCTTTTTCAGATTAGGAAGTGTTGGCAGCCAGGGAGACTGCAGGGTGCTGGAGTAGTAGAAAGAAAAGCACAGCTCCTTCAGCCACCTCACAACAATAAAGTCTGCTCAACTCTGCACTCACAACTCTAAAGCAGCCATCAAACGAGGCATTAAAATGGAAGCCCATTTTGGGGGAAATAAAACTTCTGAGAAATCGAACGGGTTTCTGCACAATGTTACCATGTTGGAGCAGAACACTCGCGTAGTATAATTCTGCACTGTGATAGAATTTGGCTTTCTGGATTGGTGGATTTCTTTTATTTGAGCCTCAGCTTGGCCTGCAAGCCAGCACACACCTACTCAGTTTCATGCACCTGAAAGCAGCTGCTTTTTAATAACTGATAACTGATAACTGGCCTGGCAAATTAAGTAAATTGCATTATCTAGAAGGATATGAATTTATTTTCTTCTTCTCTCTCGCTCTTTGGTTTGTGGGGGGTTATAGAACTCTGTGTAAAATTCCTAGTAGCTTCTCTCATCCAACAAACTTAACAACCCTGTGTTTTTTATTTCCCTAGAGGCAGCATCATGGTCGTTCCCACTGCTCCAAGATGCCCTGCAGGACCGAGCTTGTTTAAATGACGGGAGCCACAGAACTGGCCACTGGCTGACTCCAAGAGCAAGTTTATCCAAACAGATGGGGAAGACATTCCAGAAAAATGTCTTTATAGGACATCATGCTTTGCCAGGAACTTGTTCAACAGGACAGCTTGCAGCAGGAATTCTGCAAGCTCAGCTCCGCAGCCATTGCATTTGCCAAAAGAACTTGAGCTCAACTTTGGCAGCAAAGTGCCTTAGGACAGGAACTTCTATCCCTCAGCAGGCTTTTCACATGATTAGAGGCATTCACTCTGGGGTGACCAGGAGCGAAGCAGAGGAGAAGAACCAGGGACCTCTTCCCAGTGGCCAATTTCTTAGTGCCTCAGATCGTCTAACCCACATTGACCAGGAGGGCCGTGCCTCCATGGTGGATGTGGGCAGGAAGCTGGATTCTGAACGGACTGCAGTGGCCAGTGCTGTGGTCCGTCTGGGCGAGAAAGCATTTGCCTTGGTGCAACAGAACCAAATGAAAAAGGGGGATGTGCTAGCAGTTGCCCAGATAGCCGGGATTCAGGGAGCCAAGCTGACCAGCCAGTTGATTCCACTGTGCCACAACATCCCACTGAGTCTGGTGGACATGTCCCTGAGTCTAGATGAGAGGAGGCATGCAGTGGTGATTCAGGCTCTGTGCCGCACCTATGGGAAAACCGGTGTGGAAATGGAAGCCTTGACCGCTGCCAGCCTAGCTGCCTTGACCGTCTATGATATGTGCAAAGCAGTTACTCACGACATGGTCATTGAGGAGGTGAAACTGCTCAGCAAGAAAGGAGGGCAAAGAGGAGACTTCCAGAGAGGCTAACATAGGTCTGAAGTTTCCGAACCAAGGCATCACTTGCCGGTCATCAAAGGCAGCACCATCACATACTAGGAAGTGGAGATCTAGCTGCTGGGAATTACAAAGCACAACTTGAGTTATCAATCATCTTGGCAGCTGTTTTAAATGACTTGACTTTCCTGTATGAAACAGACATCGTTCATCTCATTTGCCTGCCTATGTAGTAAATGGGCTCCTTGGCAGTAGTGTTGAAGTTCTCATCTTCCTAGGGTTTCTTTGGCTTCCTGAAGTGTAGCTGTACTGAGCACCTTAACTATTCTCAGTGTACAAGGCTACAGTCCCCACTATTCATGGCTGTCCATCTTTTGGCACCTGCACTAAAAACATGTGCATAATAGGATGTAGAGTAATATGATCCAGAACTAGGAATTCAGGCCGAGACCAAAAAAAAAAAAAAAGTGATTAGAATTTTCAAGCAAGTGAACAATGATTTTTAATACTTGGGCCTAACACTGGAAAATATATACTATTTTTTACCACTTCGGCCAAATAACACTTCGGTACGGTGAGAATAGGCTACATTTCATCCTTGAAAATGGAAAACAGGTGTTTGTCAACTGAGAAAACTGAAATACTCAAATTAGTCCCAGTAATGCTGTGAGACTCTTGCTTCCAGTGGTGTTGAATGTTAATGGGGCATTTTAATTCTCACAACAGAATTGTGCTGAACACGGCTACCATTTATCTTCCAGTCGTTAAATGTTCTGGAAATAGGTCTCCCTTCATCAATTTTTTTTTTTTTTAAAGCTATAGGCTTGTTTCTTTTCTGCAAAATACTGGAAGGAATACAGTTTCGGGCTACACACTCCTTTGTGCCAAAACCAGTCACTGGGCTACATTTCTGTCACCACTCCAAAACATTTCCATCCTGTTTCAAAAAACCTGCTGGATCACCAAATCCCCCAGGCTCTTCAAGGTAGCGTTCGAGATGATGGAATCCTCTGTGAGTAGCACACTAAAATGGCAACAAATATAGGGAAACAGTGTCTTCCAATTCCCCCACATACAGTTGATGATGGTGTTAGGATGTAAGGATTTTAAGGCAAACCCAAGTGTCTGGGATTGGGAAAGCTCATTCTGAACATGATTGGCCATACAATTTTATCAGCAGGACTTAATGTTTAAATGCATCCTTCTTACACATACTGACCCCCAACTTCACCACATGCCCCCCTCTCAGGTGTGCAGAGCAATGTGTGCACATTTCAATGATCATCCTGTTTATTTTTATTATTTTTTGCGAACTCCTTGACAATTAAACTTCAGAAGTGACATTTTTAAAACTTATAGATTAAAAGCTTGACTTTGCATTTTTAATACTTCTGCTGGTCTTTCTTTCTTTCTTTCTTTCTTTCTTTCTTTCTTTCTTTCTTTCATGGTTGTTCTGAGGATATATGAACATTTGTTTCAGTCCTGCAATTTACCTGCTTTTCGTTTTCAGATTGTGTCAGGAATCTCATTCGAAATTCTAAATTGCTTTCTTTGACCTAAGCTTGCCACACCATAAAATATACGCCTTTCTTGGATGGGGTCTTACAATATCAAAAATCCACCATGTCCACCAGAAATGCCTCCTATACATATCCCCATGAAAAGAATAAGAAGCACAGGAATACAGCTGGGACTTGTGTAAAATAAGATGTTTTCCAATGGATCTTCTGATATACCAGGCATTGCAGGAAGGCATTGGCCTAGGGATGTTAGGAAACTGCTCCAATCTAGTTAAAGTCGATAACAAAAGAGAAGTTTCCCATGTGCGTGTTTCCGTGACTTTTGCACCTTCAGCAATATTTGGCATGCAAGCTAATGTAGATAACACAGTAAACCCAGTTGTACATTCAACATGGAGACAATAATACAGCTCCCACCTGCCAAATGTGAATGAGTTCCTTTCTTCCTTTCTTTTTAAAAATTGAACTATATAAAGTGTACATTTGGGGGTTTTCGCTTTCCAGTTGTAAACGCATAGGCGTGATTTCTTTTAAAAGGGCTTGGAAATTAACTTTATCTCACGAACGGAAAACTTGCTACAAATTCTGAATACATTTGTGTTACTTTCTGAAAAACTGTCCAATAATTGAAAACAGGGTACCCAGATGTGGTTTTGTTACAGTTGCCCCTGAAGCTTGTCTGCAGGGGAAAAGATGGGGCTCCATGCTTACTGGTTTGGCAAAATGGCCTTTTGATCCATTTTTAAAGGAGGTCATTTTATATTTAAAGTGAGTTGTTAAGCACATTTTCTGGTGTGCCATAATCAAGCACTATATGATTCTTGGATCTATGTACAAGTTTGGTATGTTTTCTAGATAATGGTGTACTTGGGATATAATGATTTACGCACAGATTTACTGAAGCACTGAGATTTTATTTTATTGCTCTACTGCACTTTTAATAAATAACAATTGCAAACAATGAGAGTATGTGGTCTTCATTATTCAGATATCTGTCTACTTTCTTTACGGATAAAATGTTGAACATTGAGGGGGGAGTCATTAGGAATGAATGGGAACTTTCATAGAAACTAGAAACAAGAAAGTTTAAACTTACAACCACTTTTTTATGCAAACAGCTCTGTTGGATTCAACCGAAAGTCCATCTAATTCAGTGGCCAGCCAAATGTGCCTGGGGGAAGCCCACAAACGTACTGTGAGCAATGGCGTTCTTCTGTTACTTCCGAGCAACTGGTGTTCAGAAACATGCTGCTTCTGTTACAGAAGGTACCATATAGCCATCATGACTGCTAGCTATTAATATTCTATTCATTGTTGGTGGCGCTCACTACATATTGTGATGTCAAGTGCCATATCTGAGCTATACGCTGTGTGAAGAAGTACTTTCTTTTTGTCTAGCCTGAATCTCCCACCATTCAGCATCATTGGATCCTAGGATTATGAGAAAGGGTGGGAAACCTCTCCCTATGTGCTTTCTTCACATCATGCCTAATTTCATTGTTTCAAAATGTTTTACACCATGTCAACAATAAACCAGAACTATCTTCTTGTCCATTAGGCTTGATGTCTAAAACCAGGCAAAATAAACATGAAAGGGGGATTGATGACGTAAGGGGAGGGTTAATTAACAATAGGTTTTCAAATGGGTGAGCTTGGATAGTTGACTTCAAAGACTTGGGATTTGATAAGATACCAGTAATTAAATTTATGGGATGCATAGAAAAGCACAAGGAAGAGCATAACAGGGTTAAGAAGAGATGGTGAGGGCAGAAAATGTAATTTGAAAAGTGCTTATGCCTCAGATTTCTGCACACTTCTCTAAGCAATGTGTTACTAGTTCTAGGGAATAAGAAAAGGACTGGTAATATTTGTGTTTTGCTAATTGTAGCAAGAGGAATAGATCAAGACACAAAAGGGGTGAAATGATCTATATACTAATGTTCCAATATCTATGGCAGTTATTCTTGTTTGATTCTGAAGTAGCTTTCTCCTCATTTTTCAGGGGTTAAGGACGGTTGGATTAAGGACTTCAAGGTTCCAAGGGCAGCTGCTGACACCACAAGGTAAACAAAATTACAGATTAATTTTAGCATTGTTGATTAATTAACAAGGTAGCTGTTGTGTTTTTCTGAGCTCTCTGGTAGTACGGCTGAGTAAAACCAGACTTAGGTAAATGGCCAGATTATTCCTTGAGTATTTTACATGAATGGCACATTTTTATCCTGAAAGTATGTGCTGTTTTTGCTAATGTTTTGGACAGAGTGCCCTGGTTTCCTTTTACAGACCTCCAGGCCAATGTCCTTTACTTCAGGAAAGCAAACAAGCCCGCTTTCCCTCAAGATTTAAGCTTCAATCTGGCTCTGCAGCCAAGTCATGGTACTCAACAGAAATATTAGAAGTTGTAACTGTGTGTGGCATTGGTTGTTGGCACAGATCGACTCGGGGAGGGGAAAGGGGAGGGTGTCCGCAGAGTTTCACCGAATGAACATGACTGTGGAGAGGTGATAACTCTTGCTACCCACAAAGTCTCGTGTCTCCTATTCTGGCTGGCAATTTGAGAGACTCCGTTCTGCCCAAGTCTACTCCCAGTTGTGGTCAATGGAAAAGGCAGAATGCTGCCAGAGCCTCTGTACTTTTGAGTTCACAGAGAATTCAGGCAAAGCTGTAAGAATCCTGCTGGCAGAGAAGGCAAGTGCCTGGACAAACCTTCCAGTGGTTCAGAAATGTTCTTGACGCGCAGCCAAAAGTATCGTACTTGCACAGTAATGGGATACGTGAAGAACCACCCCACAGCAATGAGTAAAAGACACGAAGGACTACACAAATAACTTGTGTTGGTGGTGAGAATATTGGATTTGGGTTTGGATAAGGGGCACATTTTATTGCCCGTGGAGCTGTAATTGTGTAGCCTCTGAGGTAACCAATCATTGGTCTTCAGTGGGTGAGTTGTGATGTGACCAATGTGGGGCTACCTGAGAGAACTATTTCAAATAAAATTAGGAGCCGAGTTCTGCTGAGAGAGGAGTCCTTATTGAATATATTGTCTTCCTGCCATTCCTTACCTGTTGTTCTAGATGCAGTGATTGAAGTTGGTCTAAGCACTGGGCCAGATCAGTATTGGGGGGGGGGGGGAGAGAGAGAGATCCTGCCACCCTTCCACTATGAACTTTTATGCTTTGTTTGTTTGTGATTTGGCCCATTCCCATTATAGTGGGGAAGAGGAATGTTGGCAATTGCTTTACTATAGGCTTACAGTAGAGTTTCTAGAGAGTTTGGATTTGATATCCCGCCTTTCACTCCCTTTAAGGAGTCTCAAAGCGGCTAACATTCTCCTTTCCCTTCCTCCCTCACAACAAACACTCTGTGAGGTGAGTGGGGCTGAGAGACTTCAAAGAAGTGTGACTGGCCCAAGGTCACCCAGCAGCTGCATGTGGAGGAGCGGAGACGCGAACCCGGTTCCCCAGATTACAAATCTACCACTCTTAACCACTGCACCACACTGGCTCTCAACATCCAAAATCTCCCAGGGTGGTCCTGGCAGTGCCTTTAGAGTTCATCCTTCTAAGACAAGGCTAAGGAATCTGTGGCCTTCTGCATGGTTTTTTTGGACTAGATATGCCATCAGCTCTGACCATTGGCTGTGCAGGAGTAGGGCTGATGGGATTGGAGCCCAGCAACAACAGGAGAGCCATTGCTTCTTTGACCCTCGGCTTTTTAAAATTAAAATTCTTAAGACTCCTTTCTCAGAAAGACTCGATGTGATGTACAAAAACACAAGAGATGTTTCAACTGAGCAGCGAAAGTAACAGTACCATAATTGTTGCCAGTGCAAAATGAGTAGAAACATTAATTGCACCTAGCCAATAAGGGTAGTACTGGAAAACCAGCTAAAAAGGAATGGGATAGATTGTGAGAGCCAGTGTGGTGCAGTGGTTAAGAGTGGTAGTCTCGTAAGCTGGTGAACCGGGTTCGCGTCTCTGCTCCTCCGCATGCAGCTGCTGGGTGACCTTGGGCTAGTCACACTTCTTTGAAGTCTCTCAGCCCCACTCACCTCACAGAGTGTTTGTTGTGGGGGAGGAAGGGAAAGGAGAATGTTAGCCACTTTGAGACTCCTTAGGGTTGTGGTAAAGCTGGATATCAGATCCAAACTCTTCTTCTTTTTCTCATTACCTGCGTTTCTTTTCCTGGAGCCTCTGGCAAAAGTGGAGCCAGAAAGTAGGAATGGAAGGAGGCGGCATCATTGCATCGCTGCTGTAGCAGCTGTGTAAAGTGGTTCCACGTGGATCGAACCAGGGCCTAACTGGCTGCTGTATTCATTGCCGTGTGGTTCTGGGCAGCGGTTTTACATCAACACACTGTTATTTATTTACTTTAGAACTTGCATTCCATGGAAGAAGATGCTCCAAGATAGTGAGATGGCTAAAATTAAATGCAGCTGGCAGAAGTGTGGAAGGTAGGGAGGGAGTGGGGAGAGATCCCTTTGGTGAAGAGAACAAGCTTTGGCAAAAAAGCACAAAAAAACCCACCATTGCTTCTGGAAAATTTCCCTGCTCCAAATTTGGTAGAATCATCTCTTGCCCTTTGCATAACCCTAGAATTTCAAGGACTTGTCTTGGTACAGTCTGTCATACTGTAGAAAGCTATCCTTGCAGTACTTTAGGGTGTGATCCTTCTTCTTGAGATCAATTTTTTTAAATCCAAAGTTGCCAGGTATTTAAAACCTGGGACTTGCAGATGCAAAACATATGCTTTGCCACTGATCCGTGGCCCTTCCCTCCCATCTCCCCTTCTCAATAAACAAAGACCTGATTAGCATCTCTCAGATGATGGCAGATTTATCACTGCTACAAAATAAAAACAGCATCCTAATGACTGCAAGCTTCCTCTCTCCTCTCTTCCAGATGAAATGTTGTGCCAAATCACTCTCTTGGCCACAGAATAGAATGAAGATCCAAATTCTGTATGACAGAAGCTCAAATCCCGTGCATGGAGTTCATAATGCAAATTTGGGGGATCTGCTTTATTTGTGCAATTGATTCTGGTTGCTGTATTTTAGTGTGGCAGATGAGAAATGCTGTTTAACATCTGTATGAGAGACACCGTAGAAGAGTGGGTAGCGGCAGACTAGGACCCCAAGTTCAAATTCCAGTCAGACCTGAAGCTCCTTGAATGACTGGCTGAAGGTTGCTATATCCCTGCTTAATTTACCCCACAGGTTTGTTGTGGGGATAATGGGGAGGGGTAGAACTACCTGTTACCCCACGGCTTCCTTGAAGGAAATGATAGGCTAAAATGTCCTTTTACAAATGATGGTGAGAGAGATCATTCACCGTTTGGGAGATAGGTGCCATCTATATTCTAATGAAGCCCATTCAGGGACTTCACTGAAGAGACATGAGTGATTGTCTGAAATCTGTGATTGGTTGGATGAATGCTGTCAAACTGAAGCTCAATGCAGATATAATGGATGTGTTGGGAATGGGTGTACAATACACCTCAGAAGAAGTCAAAGGTTGTTACTTGGAGGCAGTGCTTTTTTTCTTAAAAAAACATTTAGGGGTACTCTCATTTTCCTACTCATATTGAAATACTGCCCCTCAATGAGGCCAAACTTAGATTCAAAAAATGTTTAGGGGTATGTGTACCCCTGCATCCCCCCAGAAAAAATCACTGCTTGGGGGCATTCCTGTACCCACCTGTGGTCTGTTCTCCATCTTACATGCTGTGCACACTGAGAAATTCACAGGAAAACAAGGAACCAGTTGCACTGACACATGCAAGCTATACTCACCTTTCCATTGAAGTATTGTGATATGTGTTTTCAAAAGGTGTTTGGGGAATTTTGCTTGTCTGAAATGCAGCATCGACGCTCTAGAAGGGCTTGGAATGGAGAATCTGGTCCTCCGTAATATTTTCATGTGAAGCTTTAAAAAGCAGGGAAACAATATTTATTTCTGTGGTTGATAAGTAAGTTTCTTAAAAACAAAAATCAGGCAAAGGAGCTTATAAAGAAATATTCCAGTCGGAAGAGCGAATTTTCGTTGAGAAGCAAACTCAAGTTTTCTTCAGAACCTCTCATTTGTCTTGACGGAACATCTGGTTTGATCTGCCTCATTCCTTCTGATATAGCATAGTCTGTATGATGATGGACTAGTCCAGGAATGAGGAACCTGTAGTTGTCCAGATGTTTCTGGGCTTCACATCCCATCAGCCCCAACCAGCCATGGTCAATGGTTAGGGCTGATGGGAGCTGAAGTCCAATAACAACTGGTGGGCACAGGTTGCCCCAGCCCTTGGCTAGTCTGGAAGGAAGAGGATGTTGTCTGCAGACATCCAAGGCCACCATCTTCCAGAAGCTAAGCAGGGATTGCATTGGATAGGAGACCTCTGGGGTACTTTGGATTCCATGATGGAAGATGGAATGTGAATGTAATAAACAAATTTGGTTATGAACAGTAGAGGTTTGGATGAGATCACTGACAAATTCCTTTCAGGTCTATCAATCTGTGATTCAGACGCTATTATTTTTAGATAATCTCTCCTTCTGGGGTTCTAACAGGGCTGGAATGAATGTTCACCATATGTATGTTTCGTCTGCCTTTTCTCCCATGAGTAAACCCTGGCCCATTTCACTTTTACACTATGAAGCTTGTTTGATTGCCTCCCTTCCCTTTGCACAATTTGGATCTAGGTGTTTCTGGTTTGGGATAAAACCTAGAAGGCTCAAATGGTTTCTGTGCCAGATTCAATTCCCCAGCTTCTCCTGCTATACTCCCATCCCTTTTCTCTTGCAGGATGGGGGGGGGGAGATTAATGGAGAACAGATAGGAGTTGGCAGCATCCACACCCAGAAAGAAGCTTGTTTATGAATGAGATTAAGATTGCCGGTTTGGAGTTTCTCCTTTTCACCCCATAGCAATGCTGGGACGTGCTTTGTCTGACTCCCACTACCCAGACTTGGCAGTTGGCAATAAATGATTGGACTTGCCAAGGGGAATGCAGTCAGCTGTGGTTGAAACCCCAGACTGCTCCATTTGGAGAGCAGTACTTATGGTGAGCTGGTGCTTATTGAGAAGTTTCATTTTTGTTTCTGCTGAAGGGCAGGAACGAGACCGGGATATGTGGCTCCAGACTCAAGATATGATTGTTAAGGAGCTGGAAAATCCATAAGGAATTAGATGCTGTTCCAGCTTGCTAGGGACATTCTTTGAGTAGCCATTTTGTGAACTTTCTGAGTGGTTTCCAGAGCCAGTTGTGGTATTGTAGAACATGACAATAGTGAAGAGAATGGGTGAGGGCAGAGAGAAATGGTCGGACATTCATAGGTTGTCTGAAAGAACCTGAGACCTATGGCTCCTCCCTCAACTGTCATCAAGCAGCAGCCAGCCATTGCATCTTGAACAAATACCTACTGACATCATTTTCTTACTGTCAAGAAAACTCTTTTCTACACTGGCAGCTGTTGGCTTTGCCCAGTAGCTTGTTGGTTGGGAAGTGCTTTAGAAGAAAAATGTTCTACTTGCCCGTGGACATGGTCATTAACTGCAGTGGTCTTACTTGCTTTGTGTATAAATGTGGCTGTACAAGACATATGAAGCACAGGGGGCAGGAGGAGAAACTCTTCAAACTATGGAAAACAGAGCAAGGCTTTTATGATTAGTTGTGATGTAGTTGTGTTGACTCTGGTCCATGGGGTCACGAAGAGTCGGACACGACTAAACAACAAAGTTGTGTTGACATGATTTTCCAGGTGGATTTGTGGTGGGGCTGGTTTGTGTGGTGCTTTGGTTTCATTTGGTTTGTATAGCTTTTGGGTGAAATCAGTAATAAATCAGCAAGATTTGCTGATTTATTACTGATCTAACAACAGAATGGACACCGTGGGCCTCTGATTTTCCCCTCATTCCTTATGTCCTTCACATGCCCCCAGAATCTGCTCTGCAAGATTGGGGATCCCCCAGAGCAAGTTGGAGAACTTAAAGGAGGAAAGCAAGGGAGTGTTCCACTCTGTGAGTCGAAATCAACATGCATGGCATTCAATTTTGTAAGCTGTATTGTAAAATGTGAAATAGAAATTGATGATTATGATACAATTAGTGTTGAAGTTGCGAAACAGCATTCTTCGATGGTTAGTGTCATACTTTTGCATATGTAATTCTTTTGGCGTGAGGTGTTTAATGTTTTATTATGTTTTTACACAAGCCGCCCAGCCAGATGAGATGTGCACAATTATTATTATTATTATTATTATTATTATTATTATTATTATTATTATTATTATAGCACTATCCTACTTGCTGCATTGATGATGTAGACTTTAGCACAGGTGGAGACAGAATCAATCCAATCTTAAGGTGTTGCTGTGAAACGAAGAATAAAATAATGCTTGTTTTAGTGAACATTAATAGAGTTTATTGCTTAAATTTGTTTGGCTCACCGAACAAAATAACTCAGTGGAATAAAATAGGGGCAATATATCTTTAATTTTTTTTTAGTATTACATTATATTCTTATAAAAAGGTGCAGATAAAAAGGTTGCTACAGGTTTTGTACATTTAATTTCATTTATAATCTTAAATTGACCAACAAATGAGGAGACACCAAAGCATTAGAGGAGCAAGATGAAAACATGCAAGCACACGCACAGGTTTTCTTAGCAGTTCTTGGGCAGGGACACTTGCCAGGTTCATATACAAGATGGTGTAAGGCAGATTAGTTACCTCTTAAAATGGTAGAATTCCTCCCTTTATAAATGAAAATTCTGAGCTAGAATAGTGGTGGCAACCTAACCTATATTACTGGTTTTGATTAGTCAAGCCAGAATAACATATTTCAGTAGTGGGGAACAAGTAGCCCTCCAGATGATGTTGGACTTCCATAAGCCCCAGCCAGCATGGCCCAGGGGTCAAGGATAATGGTAATTGTAGTCTAACAACATCTGGATGGTCACAGCTCCCTCGCCCTTGATGTAGCTGGCTGTGTTCATGGAACTAGCCCTTGAGCCAGTGACATTGTTGCATAGAAGATAAGGAAAACAGAAGGTGCACATCTTCATTCTACTGGGGAGGGGGACCAGATGCAAAGACTTTGCAGATACACCTGGAGGCACCTGCTTCTCTTGTTTAACACTGCTGCCCATTCTACAGCTCAGCTTTGTGATGAAAAAACACACAAGGGCACTGAGAAACTGTCTGTGTGTGCTGGGCCAGCAATGGCATATACTTTGGACTTGATTTGTGTTATGGTTGCCCAAAAGGGTTGTTTGTTGTTGGGATGAGGAACCTGTGGTCCTCCAACTGTTATTGGACCACAAGTCCCTTTGTCCCTGACCACTGGCCATGCTGGCTAAGGCTGGAAGGCCACATGTTCCCCATCCTTCTGCAACACATCAATGTGTGTGTGTGGTGTGTGGTGCAGGGAGGGCTTCCTGAGCATTAAATCTTTCCTTCAATGGAAGCCCAGCCTACTGACCTATCCTGCCTGAGCAGTGTCAAGTATGGAACTCTGCTTGCTCCGAATATACTGGTGCAGTCTCAATAGTCATGGCTGCAATGCGGTGTATACACAAAAATAGCAAACTAAAATAAGGCGAAATAAATAGAGGTGTGGCATTTACAGGGTTCCCCTAAAAACATTCCTAAAATTGTATTTTTTTAATTATTAGAACATTAAAAAAAACAGAACTGCATACATCATGTACATAACAGAACTGTACAACTGATCTCCTTTCCCTTCATGGAAACTTATAAGATATAAACCTATTTCAATGGCTACTGGGCTATAACTTGGGGTGGGGGGTGGCAGAAAGAAAAAGGTCTGCCCAAAGAAGTTGAGGTGGGCATGGAGAACCACAGTTCTTCTGTAGGACAAGTGCTTTGCTCTCCTTCACTTTGTTAAACGTAATACTTCTAAAAGACCTGCAAACATTGTCTTCCAAATGAGAAATATCTCATTAAGCCCTTGCCATGTCCCCCCCCCCCCAGATTCTGGGATGAGCGGACTCAAACTTTGGTTTTTATTACCCCTTGCAAAACTTGGAATGCTTTTTCCCTGGGAAATGCTCCATTGGCTGGAAGGAGATGAACCATTTGGATCTAACCAACAGAGGAGACTTCTACACCTGAACTGTTACTGTATTGCCATCACTGTTAACTGGCGATGGATTTGGATTAGCACGCCCACCTGGGTTAGGAACACATAGCCCAGTCCTAACATCATTGACACACTTTGCAACCAAAGTCCACAGAAGAAGGTATGTTGTTGTAGATTTTCTATTTGTTGTCAACCACAAACAATAGTGATGATGCATAAGTATTAGGAAAAGTTGAAGAGCTAGATTTGAGAAGATACGAAGTGCGGCTGCAGTCACTAAAACACTCCGGGATTTTGTGTTTTCAAGCATTCTCTTGATCAGATTTCCCCAAACTGGTGCCTCCCCATTGTTTTATATTACAACGTGCAGGAGACCCAGCCAGCACTGGCTGTAGCTGCTGGGAATTACAGTCTAAAGGGAGTTATAGTCTCCAGGTGCTGTTGGACTACAACTACAGTGGTGCCCCGCAAGACGAATGCCTCACAAGACGAAAAACTCGCTAGACGAAAGGGTTTTCCGTTTTTTGAGTCGTTCCGCAAGATGAATTTCCCTATGGGCTTGCTTCGCAAGACGAAACGTCTTGCGAGTTCTTGCGAGTTTGTTTCCTTTTTCTTAAAGCCGCTAAGCCGTTAATAGCCGCTAAGCCACTAAGCCGCTAATAGCCGCTAAGCCGCTAATAGCCGTGCTTCGCAAGACGAAAAAACCGCAAGACGAAGAGACTCGCGGAACGGATTAATTTCGTCTTGCGAGGCACCACTGTATCATCATCCCTGAGCACTGGTCCTGCAGCCCTGACTAAAGAATTTGCAACTTATTTTTCAGAGGGAAAAATGCTTTGGATTTAAGCTGATTCAGATCTAATGCTTTTGCTTTTATTCATTTTTAAGTGATTGCTGCATGCCACCTGCTGCTGCTTGTCACCAAGTAAGCTTCCTTGCCACCCAAAATGGAGGGGGTGCCCCTCTGAAATGGGACACTGACAGGGAGAGCCACCAGCAGGCTCCAGCCTGGCCCTCCTCTGATTCATAACCAGAAAGAATGGGGTTATGGTAATGGCATCAGCATAAGACTAAACAACATTAACAGAAACATAGATCAGATTATTCTCTTTTTCACATTCAGGAAGAGGGTCACAGATGAATCTAAGCTGGTGAACTGGGATCTATCCTTTGTAATTAATCTCTCTGCAGGCCTTAAGTCTTTAGAAACTAAGCAAGAGGGGAAAGATGGTGCTGAAAGAAAATAAATGTTTATATTCTGGGGGGGAAATGTTATCTCGGGCTTTTCTGCATACTAAACTCATTTGTCTCCCCCTATGGCACATAAACGGCGTTTCCGTGCGCTGCTCTGGTTTGCCAGAAGCAGCTTAGTCATGCTGGCCACATGACCCGGAAGCTGTACGCCGGCTCCCTCGGCCTATAGAGCGAGATGAGCGCACAACCCCAGAGTCGTCCGCGACTGGACCTAATGATCAGGGGTCCCTTTACCTTTATGGCACATATTGATTCAGTCTCGCATTGTGTCCACAATACATATTATCACAGTACTACATCTCCACTACAGAGCTCAGCAAGAAGCTTGAGATAGCAATTACATTTTCTTTTAAAAGTGTCTAGTTCATCATCTTTGGAGGTGGGGAGAATACCCCCCCCAAAAAGTATGAGCTTGTAAAATTCCCCCACCCCACAAGAAAAGCTTTTAGAAAGAACTTTTTAAAAAAGTGCTTGGGTCTATTTGCAGTGGGTTTGTTTCAAAAAAAGAGGCCCTTCAAAACAGGGAGGAGGAGTAAAGGAGAGAGCACATTGCATCCAGCCCTTGTAAGGTAACCAGCTCTTCACTGTCTGTGTCAAAGCAGAAGTGCTGGATTCTGGAATGTCATGAACAGAGAAATTCAGAAATGGGAGGCTCAGACTCCACTACATTAAAATAAGGCAGCTTCTGTCTTCTCTCTCTCTCTCTCTCTCTCTCTCTCTCTCTCTCTCTCTCTCCTGCATGTTCCTAGATACCTGATTTAGTGTTCCTGATGTTCTGACCTACAACCTCCCTCTACAATTTTCTAACGTGGTTTGCATAGAATACTGATCAGGCAGTGCTCAAGATGCAGACGTCGTCTGCTCTACAAACTCAAGGTTAAGCTTGAAATTAAATAACACTTTGATACAAACAAAAAGCAGGTGATAAGGGGGGAGCAATCCTATGCTGCTTGGGAGGGTGGTTGAGGCCCACAGATTGGCAGAGACGGAGGTCTACTGTGTGGCCACAGAAATTGCATAATGGCTCCCCACTGGTAGTGGGGACAAGAGGAGGGCGTTATGGGAGAGGTTGTAGCTTGGAAGTGGGGAAGGTCAAAAGGCAGGGAGGAAAGCTGCCCCACACTTTCCACCCCGGCTGCAGTGAGCCTGCAGAGTGCCAGATGTGGTGGTTCTGCCACAGCTTCTCCCACCCACAAAGAGGTCATAGGATTGCTCTGTAAAGTGACGATTTGAGCCTCTTTGGGATTCCTCAGAGTCCCAAGGACTTCTCACTCACAGATGACATGTTCATTTCCAGAAATTGGCATGACCATCTGTCACTACACTTAGCACCCAGATCTTTCTCGCCTCTTTTTCCTATGCTCACTTGAAGGAAGGCAACAGTCAGTTCACCTCTTTATGATAAATAAGGACTCTAACACTATATGCTTCTATTGCCATACAGCCATATAGGTACAATGAAACAGGAAGATATTAGTATGCTCCCTCTCGTTGTTCCGGCTGTGCATGTTAGATAGTTTCCACTGTGGAACAACTAATTATTTTCGGATTAATTACCTGTGCTCTCTGGAGCTCTTATCAAAGTCCACTGGGGTAAGCCACCTTTGAGTCTACCATCACTCCCTTCCAGATGGAAAAGTCCTCGAACAACCCAGCTATCTACCGATGCAGCGTGTTATTATTATTACTACTACTATTAAAATCGTGCAGCCCTTTCTGGGAGACCTGGGGCTTCCGAGAAGGCCAGCCTGTTAAAGTGTAAGCTCCAGTTCATCCCAGTAGAGTTATGGCTGCCGACACAAAAAAGGATTCCCATTTCCAACCACCAGACAAACTCCATTTGTCTGGGTTTAAAAAAGAAAAAAAATATCCTACCTCTGCCAGTCCCAATAACCATTTTTATTGTGCTAACAAAATGATGTAGATTTACACCTGTGAACATTCTTATTTGCCACCCTTCCCCTACCACATTGCTCAGCAATGACAACTGAACTGGCTCGAAACCCATTGCGGTCGCTCTTCCGAGTGTGGTCCATCCTTCCCTCATTCTTTCTCATGGCTGGGCACATCCCTGAAGATTCAATATCCATGATTCCTGAAAAAAACAAGGAGTGTCGCAAACAGTCTGTCTGTCTTCTTCGGCTGAGCAGTCCCATCTACTTCCGCTGACGCAGCATCACTTGCTTTGCTTTATATGATATAGGCCACTAAGTAACATTTCTCCAGGTCGAAAAACATCATTCAGGCTTCAACCAATGGCCTTTTGTAAATCCAAGGGAAGAGCGGAGCTGCAATGCTGTAGAAGCACTCCACAACAGATGCCTGAAGGATGGGCAGGAGAGTTCAGCAAACCAAACTGAAAATGTCTTGTTAGTTTTCTCAGATAGATGGAGAACTTTTATTAAAGTGTACACTTTGGCACAGAGTAAACCATAGTCTCTCTCCCCATAACTAATCGGCACAGAAGGCCCAACGGTTTGTGTTCCGCCACTGGGACCTGGCTGAACTTGTGAGGGGAAATGTCAAGAAGCAAACTCGTCTACCAAACAGCAACGTCTTGGTGACAAATCCCTTGGGCTGTAGAGAGGCACTTTTATAACCATTCCAGATTATATGGCTATGGAAGAGAGCAAGATGGGAAGGCCCGTTCATCCTGGAAACAGTAAACAAAGCCACCAGATAGACAAGTCTCCCGGGGAAGGATATTGGCCAGCCTCCGCCATCTTGTTTGACTCTTTGTTGTGGCAAGAAGTCTTTGTTTTGTCCTTTCCTTTCCTTTGTGCTTCCTCCACCTCCTCTAATAATTGAGCTTTGTCACTGCCCGTTCCCGGCTCGTCTCCAAGCTTTGGTTCCCTGAACGCTTGCGGTTGCGCTTGAGCTTTGATAAGTCCTTGTCAAAGACCTCGCCGGACCTCAGAGCAGACACGAGATCATCAAACTCTCCCCCTCCCTCCTCAGAGACGCTGCCAGCCTTGGCTTTCTTCTGCCGCCGCTCCTTCTCTCTCTGTTCCTTTAGCTGTTGAGGGAGAAACAGACACATAAACATGGATTAAAACTTGGCAGGGGATGTATAAAAAAAATGTACTGCTGAAGTCAATAAACAGAGATATTTACACCTTGTATAAAAGATCTATAGAATCAGTTGTTTCTTGAACCCCAAACCAGAGAGAGAGAGAGCGGTAAAGGTAAAGGGACCCCTGACCATTAGGTCCAGTCGTGGCCGACTCTGGGGTTGCAGCGCTCATCTCGCTTTATTGGCCGAGGGAGCCAGCATACAGCTTCTGGGTCATGTGGCCAGCATGACTAAGCCGCTTCTGGCGAACCAGAGCAGCACATGGAAATGCCGTTTACCTTCCCGCCTGGAGCAGTACCTATTTATCTACTTGCACTTTGATGTGCTTTCGAACTGCTAGGTTGGCAGGAGCAGGGACCAAGCAATGGGAGCTCACCCCGTCGCAGGGATTTGAACCACTGGTAAGTCCTAGGCTCTGTGGTTTAACCCAAAGCGCCACCCGCGTCCCTTGAGAGAGAGCTAGGCATTGCCATTAGATTGGACTCTTTCATTCTTGCTTTTATGATACTGTTTTAGTTTGGAAATCTATATGCTGCCCCTTATTCAAATCAGAAGGGAGTTTATAACATAACAAGCAACATAATGTACATGCAAACGTAACAGAATAGCCATTACGGATTTTATGGGCATCCTACTGGTTTTTATTTTGTATCTGTTTTTCATGTTCTTATGCTGCAGTTTTCTACATCAATTTAGGAGATTTTAGGATATTAAGTGGTTTATAAATGCTATTAACTGGGACGCGGGTGGCGCTGTGGGTAAAACCTCAGCGCCTAGGACTTGCCGATCGCATGGTCAGCGGTTCGAATCCCCGCGGTGGGGTGCGCTCCCGTTGCTCGGTCCCAGCGCCTGCCAACCTAGCAGTTCGAAAGCACCCCCGGGTGCAAGTAGATAAATAGGGACCGCTTACTAGCGGGAAGGTAAACGGCGTTTCCTTGTGCGGCTCTGGCTCGCCAGAGTAGCTTCGTCACGCTGGCCACGTGACCCGGAAGTGTCTGCGGACAGCGCTGACTCCTGGCCTATAGAGTGAGATGAGCGCACAACCCTAGAGTCTGGCAAGACTGGCCCGTACGGGCAGGGGTATCTTTACCTTTACCTAAATGCTATTAAATTAAGAAAAAACTTCAAAAGTATAAGGTCTGTGGCTTTTTTGTGGCGGGAGGTGAGTAAGGAAGCACATCATAGAGGTGTATATGATTATTTATGCTAGTAAGAGAAAGTGGAGATGGAGAGGTTCTCCTCCCACTCTCTCCCAACTCTAGAAACCATGTTCATCCAATGAAGCTGGATGTGGGAAGGTGAAGGACAGATGAGAGGAAGTACTTCTTCACACAGGAGCACAGTTAGACAATAGCACTCACTCCTAGTAGACATACTGATAGACATCAATTTAGCTTTAAAGGGGGGGTAGCTTTAGAGGAATTCTTGGAAGATAAAGCTATCAGTGCCTACTAGTAACAAAGGCTTTGGTTTAGGGATTCTACTGCCATGAACCATGTTTACGATTTTGCATAACTGATTTTTAAAATGTAATCACTATTATTTTGCTTGGTTGGTCACTCTGGCAGCTTTTACAAAACTGAAGGCGCAGAAATTCTTCAGTAAATAATTAAGGGGGGGGATGAAGTGGCAGCCCAGGGTATCTTCCCCATGAGTTCAGAAAGCAAGGGGGCATTCCTTTAAGGCCAAATCTAAAATGAAAGTGAGCATGGACGTGGAGAAAACCCCTTTGAAAGCGAACGTTCTGGCTGGAAGCCACAATCCACTTATGAGTCAATTTTATAAAAGCCGGTGTGACAACTCGTGAATAACGGAGCAGTGATTGTGAAAGTTGCTTTGGGGGTCATGTGACTCTTGCTGATGAAAACATAAGCAGTGAAGCAGGACCTTTTGCCTCAAATCCAGGCCGTCCCTGTGTGATTAAATGTTTGGGAGGAAGAGACAGGGAGAGAAATGCATTCCTCCTCCCACCCACACAGGAAGTGGGTGTCAAAATGTGACCCTGACTATACTTGAACTCAGTAGATAACACCCCACTGATTTCACTGGAGTCAGGAATATATCCCAAGTTGTGACCCAGAAACCCCAGGGCTTCTTTTTTTTGCCCTGGCCACACACAGTCCTTCTGTCCCCCACTGTTCCCCTCCTAAATTCCAGTACAGAGGACCTGCCAGTGCCTCTCATTCCTGAAAATCAGGGGTCTGCCCTCTCCTCCCATTCCAGTTGTGTGTTGGACAGTCTGCCTTTCAACACTTCTAAAACTGTTCCTTATTGTTGTTTCACACTTATGGGCTCATGACATTTTAAACCACGCACAGCTGCATACTAATTCACTGGGAAAGAGTTTCTTCAAAATAGACCTACATCCCCACATCACCCCACAGCTCATTTTAAGCTGGAGAAAACAAGGGTGTTTTCACAGGGGACTCGGAAAAGCAGCCCTCATTCTTAGCAAGGCTGGAGTGACCATCACTGCTAGGGTTAAAGTGCTGGCAACATGAAACGAGGCAGAAGAATGCTGAGGAACTGTTCTCAGGCTTGGGAAAGCCGTAAGGTTAGGAGAGGGAGGTCAGTTCACATGAACCCCCGGGGAGGCAGAATCAGCAAAGGGAATGAATTGGTGTATTACACAGCTGAAGGAATCGGCTCTACCAAACCAAAAGGCAGCTTGCAATAGCTCTTGGAAGACAGCAAGTAAGAAATCAATTGCATGGCAGGTGTCTTCTTGCATAAGGTAACAGACAACAGTCTGCCCCAGCTGTATGCATGGAGATCCGTAATTGGACTATCCATATGTTTACATTTTGTCCAGCAGAAATGGGAGGGGAATGGTTGAGTGCTAGAACTACAGGGCTGTTGTGCCAGATTCTATATCTGGTGTCAAGGGCTGAAGCACTGGACTCAGAAGAGGTCAAAGGGGATGTCATGCCATTAAATTCAAATAATGGAATGTAGTACCTTTCATCATCTATAATAATAATAATAATTCTGTTATTAATCTATTATTAAAATCTAATTCAATGGAAATCATGAATTGTTCTGTTTGCGTCTTGTCACTCTCCATGCTTCCTATGGCAAACAGTGGAACCTTCCCTTGGTATTTATCACTGTTCCTCATTGGAAACAGCCAGTACAGTGGTACCTCAAGTTAAGAACTTAATTCGTTCTGGAGGTCCATTCTTAATCTGAAACTGTTCTTAACTAGAGGCATGCTTTTGCTGATGGGGCTACTTGCTGCTGCGCCGGCGGTGGCACACAATTTCCGTTCTCATCCTGGGGCAAAGTTCTCAACTCAAGGTAACTTTTCCAGATTAGCGGAGTTTGTAACCTGAGGCGTTTGTAACCTGAGGCGTTTGTAACTGGAGGTACCACTGTATTTTCATTCTTGTCTGTATGGCACAGTGTGCATTGTCTCTTATTAGCATGTAGACATTGCAGTGCTGAAAGGTGGGTGAGAGGGACAGATTCTTACCACACAGAGCACTTGGGACAAGGAAGGTTTGTGGCAAAGAGCATGAATGAGAGGCCAACAGGCAGGCAGGATATGAGCTCAGATGGGTCAATGGTGCAGGACAGCTGGCCGCACTGTGTGTGGGAGTGCAGAGAGGGAAGACATGTCCCTCTGCACACGTTGTCCTTAGACTTCCCAAGATGCAGGGAGAAACGACTTCCCAGAGAAAGCTCTCTTTTTGCTCCAACACACTCGAGTCCTCCTCACCATGGCTTCCATGCGTGCCCTCCGCTCCTCCTCCTCTTTCTTCTTCCTCATATTCTCCAGATCTTGTTTGGCTTCTGTGAAGGACTGCAGGAAGGTGTCAAAGATGCCAAAAAACTCATCTGGCTGCATCCTACCCTCATGCTCTCCAAAGTGCTTCAGCGCCTTGGCGTACTGTCAGGGAAAGGAAGAAAGATTTTTTTTAAAAAAACAAACAAACCACAAACACACAGACACACAGCAATTAGAATGGGAAAGAAAAGGCACAAGTGTGTTATGAAGTGAAATGTGTCGTTCCCCCCCCCCTTTTATTGCTAGTGAAAATTCACATCTATACCCAGCAGACCAAGGGATTGGGTTTGTCATTTTTATTTCCCTTTGCCTCACCAGTCTGGAGAGCTGGGTTAGCCAAGTCTAGGGCAGGCCACACAATAAGCATGAAGCAGCTAAGGCTTCAGCTCTCGTTCATCATGAGGCCATCTTAAGACACAATAAAGTGGCTGCCGGCATTTGCCAGGCACCATGCTGCATTGCTTATTTGGTGTAATGAGCAAGTGAGCCAGAACTGGTGGCAACATTTCTCCTAGAACAAGCAAACGGGCGCCAGAAGGAGTTTGGGATAAGCTTTGACTTGTAAGAATTTGATACTGAGGCTGTCAGTTGTGAGGCTTGAGCAGTGGTTTGTGCACTCTCTCTCTCTCTCTCTCTCTCACACACACACACACACACTCATACGACGACAACAAAGCAGGTCAGGTACGTCAACACCTTAGGTATAAATTCAACTCTGAACCCCAGTGCAGAAATGCTGGTGGCAGCGGTGACAACGGTTAAACGGCACCCAGGTTCTGCCCAACTTCTTTCCCTCCCGATTACCTGCAAAGCCAGAATTAAGAGGCTCTTACAGGAACAACACAGCATTTTGATACAGAGATTTTGTTGGGCAATTACTTTTAAGAGACCTCACACCCAATATAAAAGGTTGTTTCCTAGGAGAAATGAAACAGTGGCTAGACCATGTGGTTGATGAGTGCGGGGGGGGGGGGAGAGGGTAGTAAATAAGAATGGACAGTGTGGAGACATTACTCTCATTCTTTTATAAGGAGAATGCAGAGGCTAAAAGAAGCATTTGGTAGCTGCCAACTGATAATGCATCTGTCACAAGGCAGCCATGATTTAGATTTGGTGAAATCACAGCAATCATTGAATTTTTTCTCACCAATCCTTACCCCCTACATCTGTTTTTTTGTTTTGTTAGTTCTGCTAAATATTCCATTTTTTAACACACTCCATGGACCCTGGCATTCTGGGTCACCACCACACCCCCATGAATATGGACATCATGAGATACATGATAGTTTTGTCCTCACAGCAGCTGAAGAAATGAACAAGCTTATTCATGACACATGACTTTCAGCACCTCAATAAGCCTCTCTGTTGGACACAAAATGTACAAACCTCCCTTTCCAGTGCATCCTCCTGACAACCCTAACCCTGCAACCCTGTGTGCATTGCAAACTGAGCTTGCTTGTGTACTCCCCAGCTTGCCACAGTTTCTTTCCAGAAACTGCCTGACTTACAAGAAATGACACAATAATCTCATCTGAGTTCACAAGTGGTGATCTCCCTGGGGTTTCAAAATCTTTACCACCACAGACAGCTTTGCTTCGTTTCTTGTGTCCTGTCATTCGCTCATCCCCAAAACACTGACATTATGCTGCAGTGCTACTGAAGCTGGAGCAATGCCTGTGGGCTTATGCTTCCTTTTATGTAAGTGAGCAATGCAGAGTTTCATATGGAAGACGCCATGGTCAAGGATAACACAGGGGGCATTTCTTTTCCGTGAGATGCCATCAAGACTGGGCATGGTTGCTCCTGCAAATGGTTAAATGCTCAAAATGCAAAAGGGAACACAGCAAGGCACCCTCTGTGTACCCTGAGAAGAACTGTCTGCCACTCAGCTCCCTTTCCATCTCGAAACTGGCTGAGCCGTTATTTTTCAAAACAAATAAACCCAAAACTCTGAACTTCCTTGCTTTCTTCTTCCCTCCACAGATCCTTCTATTAGGCCAAACTAGATATGGTGACAAATGCAAGGCTGTCATTCAGAAGAACAGCTGTATATTTGCCTTCCCCTACTCTACCAATATGCGGGTGGTGCTGTGGGTTAAACCACAGAGCCTAGGACTTGCCGATCAGAAGGCCGGCGGTTTGAATCCCCGCGACGGGGTGAACTCCCATTGCTCAGTCCCTGCTCCTGCCAACCTAGCAGTTCAAAAGCACGTCAAAGTGCAAGTAGATAAATAGGTACCGCTCCAGCGGGAAGGTAAACAGCGTTTCTGTGGTTGCTCTGGTTCGCCAGAAGCTGCTTAGTCATGCTGGCCACATGACCCGCATCATTTACTTCCACAGTAATTCGCATATTCAGCAGTTTGATTTTGGGAAGAGGACTAAGAAATGAGTGGTTGCTCTAGATTACACAGAAATTAGACCTGGACATCTTAAAAGCATTTTGAAATTTGACCTGTGTCTGACTCTAAGGCTGTACAGTATAGGCAACCCTGGTTGATAAGACTTACTGGTTTGTATTGGTACTGCCATGGCTCAGAAAACCTGCTGAATTCTGGTCCCCCTTCCTTGTTCATTGGATCCTGTTGATCCCAGCTTCCTGTGAAATGCTTCCCAGACGTGTTTCAACACTTGGCAACAAATTCTCTCTGTACTCATGGCTTTTTGTCCCCATCCTGTAAATGCTGCTTGCTGATACTATGCATACCCGCCTCCCAAATTCCTTGACTCCAGAACCCACCATGAATCAGGAGAAAGCCTGATTCTGCCATTACACCCTCAGTCTATGAGCACAGAAACATGGAACTGCTTTTTTGCTTTGTAATACACAAAGTAAATGTAGTTTTGTTGTTGCTTCCTGTTTATGGTGTGCCAGGAAAGCAGTAGCTCCCAACACCCACTGGAGAGAGACAGAGAGAGACAGAGGGAGATAATCAGATAATGATGGGGGAATCACATTATTTGCATTCCTCTTCGGTTGGAAGAGGGGACCAGGGGTCCTTCACCTGCAGGTTGGGGGAAGATAATTGAGAACAAGGATGAGGCAGTGCATTTCTACATCATGATGGGTGAGATGTTGTGCTCCTTCCCATTTAGGCCTCGGTGCTCATTAAGCCAGATCCATATACAGAAAGGTGTTTAATTCCAATGACTGGCACTGTTCTTCAGTTTAATGGCCAAAGCTTTTAAAGCAAGACCCATTTTAGTGTTGATAAAAATCACATTCATGAGTGTTTTCTTGCTAAAAGTAACAGTATCGTGGAATTTCTGAGTATTCTGGCCTCCGTCCGTACTGGCCAGTTGCAAGAAGTTTCCATGGTGGAGACAGCACTCCTGATTCAACAAACACAGAGAGACCATTGAGAATGGAGCAAATTCAGACCCTGGGAAACACATCTGGGGATACACACACACACACACACACATATATAATTTTTATTTTTATTTTATTTTTAAAGCAGGGGGTGGGGAAAGAAAGTAAGAAAGTAAAGTGAGCATGAGAAATAGCTCCAGTTTTGTTAAGGACAGAATATTCCCTTCCTGGCTCCAAAGGCAGCTCAGGGCTTGATGAGGAGTGAAAGCTGTGAGCTCCTCCAGTAGAAGCTGAAAAGGAACTTGGTTCAAGAATAGTAGCTGCGCACATGATTGTACGGAGTGACAGATTGATGGGGCATGTTATAGCAATTAGAATTAAGCATCTCTCGTTGAGAACATTATGTTGGCAAAGGTGCATGCAGCCACTTCCAGACATGATTGGCTTTGCTGTGGGGAGACACGTCAATTAGCTTAGCAGAACCAGGAACCTGATTCTCCTTCCCCAGTATGATTAAATCCGGTTTGGGATGAAAATAAACCCTGGATTCTTAATCCTCGGAACACCAGAAACAAATTGCACCAAGTGATGGAAAGGATACATGACTGGAAGATACTGACATAGCTAGCACAAATAGACGGAAAGCTCTCATTTGCTGAGCTGGATTAAGCATTATGCAGGGTAACCTGCAGCTCAGGCTCTCAGGCATTGTAAAGCACATGCCATGGGGTATGATATGGGCATTCCCCGCTGTGTTGAGGGACTATTGTTTTGCAGGATCTGTTTTTCTTCACTAGGCTATGTTATGATTCTTCAAAGCTCACAACTCAGAGGTAGTCTTTGGAAGTCAAGAACGCATTATACTGCATAACTACTTTGTTTATTTTAATTGGTTTAATTATGGTGCACACATGGGATTAGTGCATTTCCTACTGCAAACATAGCACGCAGTAAGGAAAGTCTTACTTCTCCTCTCCCAGCTTCAATCTAAGCAGAAATCACCAATACAGACTTTCCCCCTTGTTGTCCTAGACTTGGCCCAAGGTTAGTGTGACCTAACCTTGCTCTTTGGCCCTCCCTTGAATATGCCACAAGCCGGTGCTACTGGTGTTCCTAGAAACAGGACACCTAAAGCCCAAAGCCCAGGTTTCTGTTCTGATTGGGGCTAGGGAAAGAAAGAGGTAATCCTCCCCTCACTATGCCCCACATTTAACATTATTTATTATTATTCATTTAATTTGCATGCCGCCCTTCATCTGTAGATCTCAGCATCAGCAACAACAACAAAAGCCTCAGAATTCCTCACAACATGTCTCAGAAATTAGGGACACTCTACTGGTGTAAAAATGGAGTGCCCCTAGTTTCTGAAGATAGTTGGAGGGTATATTATTATAGTAGGAAAGGCACCCCCATATACCTGTGCTCCTGTAGTAGAATTAATAAAAACAAAAGAAATGTCTACACACTATGAGGTAAGCACAAACCCTAACCCTTTCTCAGAAGAAGAAGAAGAAGAAGAAGAAGAAGAAGAAGAAGAAGAAGAAGAAGAAGAAGAAGCTGTTAGAATCTCAGTAGGTTGGTAAGTTTAAAAGAAGAGAAGTAAAAAAAGGAAAAATTACTTCCCTGGGTGGCAATCAACGCTAATTAAAGTCCTGTTATCTGCGGTGCTCCAAAGCCTGCTTGCTAAGCCATCGCCATCTTGGAACCTCCCCTGCATTAATTCACAACAACAACAGCAGCAGCAGCAGCTGTGTCCTCAAGTATGGAAAAGTATTAAATGGCAGGACCCTATCAGGCATGAGTAGCCAAACATCCACACTATACCGATTAAGATTTCGGCTGTGATTAAAAGAGAGTCTGTTTTGCCAGTGATGTGCTTGAAAGAGAAAGGCCTCAGGCCATGGGTTGACCCCAAGGCTCTTAGAATCTGAACATATAAACACATAAAGCTGTGATATACCAAGTCATACAATTAGTCCGTCTATCTCAGCACTGTCTACACTGGCAGTGGCTCTCAATGGTTTCCGGCAGCAGTCTCTCTCTGTCCTGCCTAGAGAGGCCAAGAATTGAACCTGGGTTCTTCTGCATGCAAAACAGATGCTCCACCACTGAGCTCCTGCCCTGGCTAAGGAGATTTCTGTATGAGGGATAAGGTGCCCTTTCCCTAATAAATAACCCTAGAAACTGAGCTTGGTTAACATCCCCACTTAACACCAGGCCTTTTCAGGGAAATGTGAATTTTGGCTAACTTTCCTTCATTCTTCCCTTTTGCTTGCTCATTATATATTTTATTCCCTCAGGCCACTGGGTCCAGACAGTAATAGAAGCAAGAAAACAACCCAGGAACAAAGGTCCTGTTAATGAAGAGAAACCAAACAAAAAGTGAAGGGTCTGGGAAGCAAAGTGCTATATGTGAACAGTATCCAAACCAATCCTATATTAACCTGGGGCTCAAAGACAGACAGCTGACAGCTTGAAATAACAGGCTTGTTGCTTTAAGATAAAGGACATTAATTTTGAGGAAAGCCAGATAAAACACTCTGTGTATTTCATTTTTATAACATTTCCATTTCCCATTTTTAAAAATTAAAACCTCCCCCCTTTTGCATTTGTTTTTTGCGCTGCAAGGCAACTCATCTTAGCCATGAAAAACAGACACACTCACGGAGGAGAGAGACAGTTATAACTTTAAAAGGTCAGAGCTGGGCTGTGGCACATTCTGAAACAACATAATGTAGAGAGTGAGGCCCTGTCATGTGTCATGATACAAGATAGCAGGGCTGGATTAAACAGCTGGCTAAACACGCTGCACTTGGAAGGTCAAGCTGGGGCCCAGGCAGCAGCGCCATTACCTGAGAGCACCACCGGGTGGCGCTGCCCTGCAGATCAGAACAGCTTGGCTTTCCCCTCATGGCAGAATCTGTCAATTTCAGTCTCTCTCTCTCTCTGTTTCTCATTTTTTCAATCTTAAATTTCCTTCTCCACATTTCTGCATCAGTTTGTGATTTTTTTTAAAGTCCTCATGAAAAGCCAACATTTTAATGCACTTTTTTTGCGAGCAATTTCCCCTAATATGTGTATTTTTGCATGTTCTTTTCACAAAGATTTTTATGCATACTTTGCCTAAACATATCCATTTTTGTACACATTACTTGGCTGGCTAACTCCGCCACAAAATTCAGAGCAGTTTGAATTTCAAAAGATAACTGCCGTTTGGTCCACATATTGTATCAGGAAGTTCAAGTCTGGTAAGTTCACATTACAATGCGAACTGAACGGAATCCTGCCCTCCCCATCTCTACAATGGCACTAGCAGCCATGTTCCTAACAGTGCACAGTGCACTATTTGAAACAGACTCACTAGCAAACTAAAAGTGAGGTGAATAACAGATGTACATCAGATGGCACAGGAAAATATTTTCCACAACCCCAACAAATGCAATGGATGACAGCACAAGGCTGAAGGGCTCATAAAGCATCTGGGTTAGAGCAGGGCTGAGCAGAAGGTAGCCTGGGATCTGCTGGTGGGTCTCTGGGTGATCTTGCTCTCAATTAAGAAAGGCAACAACAGAACGCCTCCCGCCCCTGCAGGAGGGGGCTTTTGTATGGAAGAAATGTGTAAGCTCAATGCATATCTGTTATTTAAAACAAACTCCTGGGCTCAGAATTCTTTTATTCTTTTGCACCAAACTCCAGTAGGTAGGTATCAGGGTTCTAGTACAAAACATAGTCGTACTACAAGGCTGAGTTAGAGAACAGTGGCTCCCCAAAATATGAATTCCTACATGATGTAGCCTACGAAAGAAGGGGCATTTCACATGTTGCAGAGACAATAACTGCCCAAAGCATCGAGGGGTGTGATGTGATGCGATCAACATAAAATAGAAAGCACCAACTTCAGCTGTAATGTGAAGTGGCTGAAAAATCAGGAAACCTCGCCACTCAGGCAAGGTTCCACCACAACACCAAAAGGGCCTGTGTTTTCTCAAGCTCCTTACATAAAAGAGAAAAAATGGGCCAAGGTGTAACAGACTTACTTGGTGCTATTAGCTGCCTTTATCACACTAGCAAAGCAGGACACGTTTACCATTGTTACACCTTGTTTACATTATGACTTGTTCTCCTTTAAACATTCTTGTGCCTTTATAACGTTTTCTTATGTTTCTTCCCCACCCTAGATACTGAAGGCTTAGTGCCAACTTCTAGTCAGGAGCAAATAAATTGAAGGTCTACTCTCCTGCCGCTTTACAATTTGCCTCTTGGGACATGATGTACATGCTTTTCTCTGAACACAAATGTTATCAGGTGGAAAAAGAAGTGTCTGTTTTGCTCCAGGTGATACATTGGGAAGCTACTACCAGCCCCAGTTTCCAAGATATGCACCCTTGCTAGCTATCACAGTTTTAGTTCTTCAGTGCTTTCCAGTCTTTCCAGAAGTAACCTACGAATGGTACATTTGGGTCTACTGAACTCATCTTGGCAAAGAGGGTCACTGCTAGATATTTGGAAGGGACCTTAGTTCTGGAGATTAAAAATTAGTCTGTAACTGGAGGATGTATTTAGATTTGGAAGTTGCAGGTAAGTTGCATTATCACAGCATTTCTGTTTAATAACCTTTGTCTAATCAAACGTGCCATTCAAACAATAATTACAGACCTTTATTAAAGAGCCACCCATTGTCCCATGGAAAAGAAGCAGCCTTCATTTCTGCAGACAAGGTTCCTTTCTCAATGAAAGGCTCTGTGCAACAGCCCATTAAAAATGAAAACAAAGTTACATGCCTCGTATGTGTTTTGGGTTGGAGGACCGTATCAAAGAACAAACATTTAAAAAGCATTTTCCTACCTTATCCTTTGCATCGTTCAGAAGGTCTTCCAGCTCTGAAAAGCTAAAACTGGCTACAGTGATAAAGTCGCCCATGACAGGGACAAATCTATCGCCAGCTTCCCGCATACGTCTCTTCTGGTAGTCCAGCTCCTAAGAAAAGAAGAAGATCAGAGCAACTGACTGGTGAAATTATTAAAACAGGTGCAGCCACACTGTTCAGACCAAGCAGCCAGGTGTCTACTGGGCAGCTTTGGAAGCAGCAAGGCTTGAGACATACAAAACAAGGCACTTCTTAAACATCCTGGTGGCAGAGCACATAGCAAGTCAAATCAAATTTCTACCACTGATTCCTATGTTCACAGGCCGAGACCCTGTGGTGGCTTACCTGTCCTCCTGGTTCTGGCCCTTAATCTTCAGGAACCGTTCGTTTTGTTTTGTTTTTGAAATCAAGTTTCTAGTCTCTTTATTTACAGAGATATACAGGCAAACATGCAAAAAATATTCTGCCCGAGTGCTCAGCACCTAGCATATCCAGGGTCCATTAGGGTTGTGGGTTTCAGCCCCATGTTGGGCAAAATTTTCCTGCACTGCAGGCAGTTGTATTAGATGATCCTCGTGGTCCCTTTCAACTCTATGATTCATTGCCATAGGAGAGTCTGGGAAGGCCTGGCTGTCTCATAGCTGTTCCCTTAATGTGTGTGTGTGTGTGTGCGCGTGCGCGTGCGCACACACACACACACACACACAGTGCTCTCCCATAATCCCTAGCCATTGGCCATAATGCCTGGGGCTGATGGGAGTTGGAGTCCAACAACAACTGTAGGGTACCATCTTGGCTACCAGTGGTACACAGTGAAATCAGAGTAGTGGTGATGAAGGGGGGGGCAAGAGATGGACGGCCTGGGAATAGACTGAAGCAAAGAGGAATATTAAGCAGACAGGAAACAAAACACTGCAGACAAAGTAAAGCCTACCATAAGACAATATGAGACAGCATAAATTTAACCATTATCAAGGGAAAGATCCTTTCCCCTTCTATTAAACAAGTTCTTTTTTAAAACAACCACAACAGCACATTCCTGAATCACTTGGCAAGCGCTAAGGGTAACACACACAGGGTATTTCCCAGCACATCAAAACAACGAAGTACATTCAGGGTCTAAAGTACCCAACTTTCAGTTTTATTTCACATTGCAACAAAAGTGAAAGACCCTACACCAATGTGACTTGGAAGACATGTTTCTTTCTTAACAAGCTTGTCAGTGCTTTGAATAACCTCAGGAGGTCAGTCAAGGACAGTATCAAGTGCTCCTTACTCTTCCTTTCAAAGCAACTCCATTCACCACAAGGCTTGATAATGGGCATGGCATAAGCTCTAACCTCTGGGTGTTCTGTTGCCGTTGTGCAACCATTATAGCACGCTGGATTTCCTCCAAACCAAATGAAACTAATCGTTAATCAGATAGTGGTTTATCTTCCACTTTTCTTTTCTTTTCTTTTTTGAGATTGCAGTTCTCAGCATGGGCAGTTTGGTGCTGCCTTGAACTTCCATATTCAGGTTATCTGCCAAATGGACTTATTTGCCTGGAACAGCAGTGAGCGCCTTGAGAACTGGATCTCACAACTGAGCGAGCACAGACTGACTTTTGAACACCTTAAGCTGCTTGAGATTGTGAAATAGGGTGACCTGGGCTCAAACGCCCTTTCGTCATGCAGCTCAATGGCAAGTCTTGGGCCCATCACACACTCTTAGTCTAATCGGCCTCGCAAGGTTGTTGTGAAGATAAGAGGACCAAAGGGAAGTTTCTTGGATTCCCATTAGGACAACTGCAAGTTGTGATAAAATACATGTTCACTGATGTGTTTTAACATGTATTCAAATTTTCATATTTTAAAAAAAATCACAAATTAATACAGAAATGGGATGGAATGGGTGTATGAGTTAACATCTGCAAAACTGACTAGGGCCAGAAATGACGTGATCTGCCCATCCCTAGAGGATGGAGAGAGGTAACCTCCATTTATGTCACCTTCAGTTCCTTGGGATCTGGTGGGATGCAGATGGAAGATATGAAAGACAGCTATACAGCACATGGAAATATTATGGGGTTGTTTGTATTTAGAGCTGGGAGCCCCCAAAAACCTTTAATTGTGCTTTGTCAGGTTTAGCTAGCTACCCATGCCACCCCTCTCTTTCTCCAATCTCTTCCTATCAGCATTTAGACTGCAAGATCCTCAGGGCAGGGAATCTTTTCCTTCTGTAAGAAACATGCTGGCTACAATAATGGCTTACTAATACCCCCAGTTTTAACTGAAGCATTATCTTGTGCTGGGATTGTTTGGGGCATTAGATATTCTCTTTAAGATGGCACAGAGTTCGGTTTGGGGGAGAGACTCTGGCTCTCCAGGTGTTGCTGAGCAACAACTCTCACCGGGAGTTGCAAAATTCAGAAGTGAAAGTTAGGACACTGTGCTCAAAAATCTACACTATCAGAGTTAGTGCAGGTTTAAAAACAAGTACTCGCCGTAAAAGCTACAAACACAGTTGGCAACAAGGCAGTTGGATGCCCTGGCAGGGCTCACAGAGAAAGGAGAGTGTTTATGAATTTGCATTTTGATATACTTTGCATTGCCTGCTTCACTCTGTGAAGTTTTTCAGAGCTGGACTCAAGTCTCATTTTTTAAAATGGTGCTGCCAGCCCTGGGAAGTGAAGGATTACAAAGTGCCTCTGTTGAGCAGCTGACTGTGAACCTATTTTTAGCCCTGTGTTTGTAATAAGGGGCTTTGAAGAGCCCTCTCAACTGTCAGAGCCAGGACTGTGGCGAGAACACGCTGGAACGCAGTCAAGAGTTGCACCTTCCCTCCCCCCTCCATCAAGTCCACTCCCAACAAGGGCCTTCCATTGTTGCTATAGTGCTGCATTTTTACATGCCAAAAGTGGGTGGGGGGAGCAGTGAAATGAATGAGCAAGAGGGGAAGGTGCTGGCTGCCAAGGCTAAACAGAGGTGGGAGGGAGGGGGACGGGTGCATGAATGGGAAAAAGATGTTGCCCGAGAAAGGGAAGGAGAAGGTACTGCAAGGACACTGGGCAAACAACTCACAAGCCTGAAACCAAACCGAATCTATGGTTTATCACTCAACAGCTGCAACTATCCTGTAATTTCTTGGGTGCCTAAAACAGCCAACACAGAGGAGCTCTGGGCACAGAGAGCTTTCTTAGCATGCAAGGGGAAATGTGCCTGCTGGAGAGGGGTGGGGCGAGCTTGTCAAGGAACAAAGTCAGAACTTGAGAGCGACCTCCTCAATATTTATCATGCAAACTGGCTCTGCCACAACCACTGTGAATCCACATGAAACTTGAGATTTGAAAATGCACACTGAACGGTATTTCATTCCGTGGAAGCGAGCGCTGAGCAGCATTTCCAATGGCCTGGCTTGCACACCACACTCAGCCAACTGTTGGCTTAATGCACTGAAGCGATGGAACCAAAAAAAAATTCTTGCCAGAAGCAGGACCCGAGCCAATGGGTTTAAACTACAAGAAAAAGGATGAATACAGTGGAAGAACTGTATCAAGAAGTCCTCCATCGTTAGAGGACTTTAAGCAGAGGCTGGATGGCCACTTCTCAGGGATGCTGAAATAGTAGGTTTCCTGCATTCTCAGGAGGTTGGACCAGGTGACTGACAAGATGCCTTCTAACTCTATCGTTCTAGTCCTCGCATCGCATGCTCCAGAAGTTCCTACAAGATCATGTTATGTTTAGACTGTAACTAAAAAGGCCAGCTCCAATAGCATTTTATTTAAAAACCCATGAACGTTGTGTTTTAAGTCAACTGACAGTGATCTTGAACCTGCAAACTGAGAGAAGTCAAACTGAGAGAAGTCATTTACAGTGTAAATGGGGGGGGGGGTATTCAGGGGATACTTGGTTCCACCACTCTACTCCCCATGGCCGTGAGTGAGAATGAGAGGACACCTTAACTCCCTGGCTATCTAGCATATTGAGATACTATTGATGTCACCAACTATTCATGCAGGAGCAATAATGTTCCCCAGTCCAGGGAGAATGAATGTAAAATTTTGCGTTCGGTCCATACCTGAGTGCTGCACTCACACAACTAACACCACTAAGGGTCACTTCACACACTGCAGGATTAGCGGGTACATATCACAGACCCATGCTGAGTACGTTACTACAGCTATATCTGTAACTTCTGAAGTAGATCCATACATTAAACTTTGGCATTAATATCACACTCTTTCCTCTCCAAAGTACCCTACATAGATGAATCTTCAGTTGGGGAGATTATTCAAAGCAGCCCCAGTGTTTGCAAATAATTCAATGTGAAAGCACGTCAAAGTGCAAGTAGATAAATAGGTACCGCTCCGGCGGGAAGGTAAACGGCATTTCCATGCGCAGCTCTGGTTCACCAGAAGCGGCTTAGTTATGCTGGCCACATGACCCGGAAGCTGTCTGCGGACAAACGCCGGCTCCCTCAGCCAATAAAGCGAGATGAGCGCCACAACCCCAGAGTCGGCCACGACTGGACCTAATGGTCAGGGGTTCCTTTACCTTTTTAATAAGATAAAATGAACTGGATGATAAACTTTACAATGTAATAATATAGCCTTGCAATGATGTTTGGTTCTTGCTGCTTGACGTATTTTTGCTGCAACAGCGATGATGATAAAGAGTCATCCCAAATCGCAGGTGGGAGGCAGAAGTAGCATGACTTTATGAAGGCCACACAGAAAAGCCAGTGGACAGCCAAGAGGAGAAAGTAGGTGTTCTTGGCTCTAGGTCCTACATTCAGTTCACCAGACCACAATCCCCTAGAGAAGGCCCAGTATGACTGAATCTTTCTGTTTTGCAAAAGCCCGTTGGCTCCATTCCTTGTTTGTCCAGTGTGATTCTATTCACAGGGCTTGTAGTAACAGAGCTCTACAGTGATTACCCCCAAGTATATAACATCGAGTAGAAAATGAAGGACGCGGGTGGCGCTGTGGGTTAAACCACAGAGCCTAAGGCTTGCTGATCAGAAGGTCAGCGGTTCGAATCCCCGCGATGGGGTGAGCTCCTCTTGCTCGATCCCAGCTCCTGCCCACCTAGCAGTTCGAAAGCACATCAAAGTGCAAGTAGATAAATAGGTACCGCTCTGGCGGGAAGGTAAAATGGCGTTTCCGTGCACTGCTCTGGTTCGCCAGAAGCGACTTAGTTATGCTGGCCACATGACCCGGAAGCTGTACGCCGGCTCCCTTGGCCAATAAAGCGAGATGAGCGCCGCAACCCCAGAGTCGGTCACGACTGGACCTAATGATCAGGGGTCCCTTTACCCTTTACCTAGAAAATGAAAGGACTAAGCTGCTCCCTAGAAAGTAGGCAGGCAATTCTCTCTGTGGTTGTTTTGAACAACCAACTACAAGGTGCCTTCTCTGCTCCATTATGGATGCATGATCCTGTTAGGATATTTCTGTTCCACCTTAAAAAGGGGACAGGCTGTTGTGAGTCACAGCCTACGTATTTCCTGCTCACAGGAAGTTTCTGTTTGTCTATTGCCTTTGTTCTCTCTCTGTGCCTGAACACGCAAGCAGGCAGTCATGTTTTTCCCTTTGTTCTGACCAATGCTGAATAAAGTTGTAAATATGCTCTCCTTAGTGCATCTTTCGCTGAACGAACTCTGCTGATAGAGCGTGCACAAGACTTGGAATGTGGAAAGCTATTTCTGAGGCTTTGTGTCGCTAATTGATTGATACTGCGTTTCTACGGGAGGTGGATGGACGTCCGGAGACAGCATGGGGGCATGATGCCTTTTGTCTCCCTGGCAGTGGATCTCCCAACAGATCCACTGAACTAGAAATGTGCTAGGGAAGTCAGGGCAGGAACCACAGCTCACAGGTAAAGCAAGTGTTTTGCATACAGAATAGGATGGGAAAGATCCCTGGGCATGACAAGAGTAGTAGACAATATTGAGTTTGATGGACAGAACAAGCTGGTGTAAGGCAGCTACATGCCAGGCTGTACCCTGTAGTGCAGGGGGTGGGCAAAAGGGAAAAGAAACAGACAGCCATGTTTGGTGTGAGAGACAATGCTCCACCTGTCCTCTGCTACTTGAAGGATCTTGGGCCCCATTGGTGGCTGCTCTCAGACTCTGGAACTCCCTCCCTGGAGAAACTAGACTAGCTCCCTCCTTGTCCTTTTGCTGGCAGGTGAAGACCTTCTTCTTCCAATAGGTTTTTGAGAACTGATAGCTTTAATGGAAGGGCTGGTGTCTTGCTATTTCTATCGTAATTGTTTTCATGTTTTAAACAGATGTTATATATGTACTGTATATAGCTTTATATTAATGCTTATTTTTTTTAAATTGCTTTTTCTACATTAGGGAAAGGCAAAGTAAAAATAAAATAAAATTAAAATTAAAATAAAATAAAAATAAAAATAAAAATAAAATAAAATAGTCAACTCTCAGCAGATTGGCCTACAGGGATTCTCAGCAAGGGACATCTCATTCAGAGAGCTACAAGTGCCACAGATGGCAAAAGATCTAGCAATGGACTTCCCTTTAGCATTTTAGTGTGGATGTCTGTTAATATACACATTTTTGCAAAGCCGCTTCCCCTAATAAAGAACATTTTTTATATTATTTTCACAAGCATGTATTTAAATGCATGTTTATTATATGCATTTTTATTCAATTAGTTGGCTGCAGAACTGCATCGCAAAATTCTGAGAAGTACGAATTTTGAAGGATGGCTGAGCTTCATTTAACGTACTGAAAAAGTGAATCAGGTAGGTTTGCCAAGTACAAATTGAATCAGTGTTTTCCCCCATCCTTGGTTGTATTGCAGCACCGTACAGCTGTGTGACCACCAGTTCCATACCTGCTTGCTTCCCTGCCTTTCTCCCTCCTTGGCAGATGTTTTGGCCGCTACTAAATGATTTGATACATAGGCTACACCCCACCCGTTCAGACCTGTCCACAGAGGCCACACCAAACACCTGCTCAGAGACCAAACCTCTCTGAAAGAAGCAAAAGCAAGTGTTCCAACATTTTTAGGGCATGTCATTTGTCAAACTCCCATTCCCCCAGCTCTCAGTAGCAGATCAAACAAGTTTCTTAAGGGGTACATCTGGTAATATCATCAGCCCAGCCCTACGGGAGACGGTTTTAGGGAAACAGGCGGTGCTTGACAAAAGAAGAAAAGCTCGTTCTTCTCTCACCAAAAACACAGTGCCCGAGTTCCCGAGTGAGTATTTGGAAAGCACGAAATACTTACAGCTTCAACAGCTTTCAATCCAGTCTTTATGTTGTTCACTTCCTTCTCCAGCTCCACCAGGCTGCAAGGAGACACAGAGAGACATACAGCAGTTGAAAACAAAAAGAGCAGTGTTACATGGGAATGCAGGAACTGGTGAGGCAGTAAAGAGCGCTGGTCCATCCAGTCTGGTATCCTGCCTCCGGCCCCAGCCCTACACCAGATGCTTTAGAGGTGGCAGGAAGAGGTCCATTCTGTGTTGCATGAGCTTTTAATAGGAGGGTTCAGACTCACACACAAGATCCCACACTATTCAGAAGAGAATAAGCCTTTCAGCCTCTGGATAAATGAAATGGGGGAGGCAGGCTGAAGCGCCCAACATTTTGACATGGCATGGCCAGCTTTAAATCAAGCAGAGAGCTTCTGCTTCTCTTCTTCCAATAGAGGCCTTTGGGGGACTAATGGACTGGTTATTTGTTTGCTATTGACTAGTTTTTCGTTCTGCTTGTGTCAGGCGTCAGAGGATCCAAACCCCCACGGTAGGTTGCCAGGAATGGATAGAACAAGGAAAGTTCTTACCAATGCTATTTATTCAATATTCACAGAGATAGGCTTAGAAATGCAGCCTCTTTTAGTAATGGTGTTGCTCTGAGTGAAACCCCACCCCCTCCGTCTCTCCCACTTCCTCATGAGACATCGCTATGGGTCCTAGAAAGAGCCTTTTGCCTTTGAGGTCTCTGCTCTCCTACTTTCAATGCCCACCGGGTTCTAGAAGGGGGGGAGGGGGGTTGGAATGCTTTCTAAAGACACTGAGTCATTCAGCTGTCTCTCCCCTGATGCTTCTTCTTCTTCCTCCTCCTCCTCCTCCTCTCCCATTTCCCAGCTTTTCTGCTCATCTGCCTCTGAGCTGTAACCTTCCTCAAACCCCTGTTGTAATTCTGAACTGTCTCGTTCTTCTCTGGAAGGGTCAGGCTGGGGAAGCAGTCTCCACCATTTCTCCTCTGCCCAGTCCCTGACATCTTGACTTATGTTCTTATCTCCTCTATTAGTATGTATCTTTTAACAAATTTAATCATTTTCTGTTCTTAAGTCACCTTGGGCACCTAGTGCAGAAAGGCAGGACAGGAATTCCATTGATTAACTGATTAATTAATTAACTGATTAATTGATTAATTGATTAACCTGCTTAACTCACAGGCAGGAACCCAGCACCAGAATAATCATCTAAAGAGGATCAGCTTCTTCCACCCCACTGACATTATTATGCCCTCCTCCCAAAAACTGACAGCAGAATACAATGCACATCCACTCTGATGTATGCCAGCATGGTGTAGTGATTAAGAGTGTTAGACTAGGACCTGGGAGACCACAAAGCTCCCAGGGTGACGTTGAGCCAGTCAATGCCTCTCAACCTAAACTACCTCCCAGGGTTGTTGTAAGGAGAAAATGGGTAGAGAGGGAGAAGCATGTTCATCACCTTGAAGTATTTGGAGGAATGGTGAGATTAAAATGTAATAAAAAGTGAAAATGAAATGAAACTGAGTTTAATGGGACTTATTCCCAGGCAAGAATTGTAGATTGTGGCATGAGTAAAATAACCCCTTTTGATTAGCTGAATAAAAAGTGACCATAAAGATCCATGGAAAACTGCTAATGTTGAGGGATAACTGTTGGCTTTTCATGCAATAGTATACTGGGCTATAAAAAGTGGCAGAAACGTAGAATTGTAGAATTGGATGGGGCCCCAAGGGTAATGCAGCCTAAATTCCTGCAATGCAGCAATCTCAACACATGGTCTCCCATCCAATTTGAAACCATTCCGGACCCTGCTTAGCTTTGCAAATGTGCTAGCAGATTTATTGCTACAGCATCATATGAATCTACAACATCTAGCCACTAATGCTGTACAGGTCATATTCCATTTTTCACTGCAGGTTAACAGCCTATTTTACAACACATTATTATATGTCACCTCTAGTCAGGTTGCCGATTTATATATAATGAGCAAATGTCAACACAGTGATCTAGTACCCATCCTTTGTTGAAGTTTTAATGCCATCCCCATCCCCAAACTTACTTGACTTTTGCTGCTTCTGGAAGATGCTGTAGTTCAGACTGCATGTCTAGAATATCTAGGTAGTTCTTTTCAAAGATCATAATCAGGTAGTGTAACAGCGTAATGTTCCTAAGAAAAACAGATATGAATGAGGCAAAAAACAGGATATTGGGAATAACTGACATGACATGCAATATGTCTGGCATGAAGTCATGCTCACCAGTTCAGGGTTAGATAAGCATCAGCATTTATGTTTCTTTAATAAAAGCCATGTAAACAAAAAACAAACATATCTTTTTATAACAGCAACAAAAAATATTTCACTTGGACCCACCCATCTAACAGAGAATGTTTAATGAAGAACAACATAAAAATATTTATAAGGAATAAACAAGCAAGTAAGCAAATAAACCTACTTATCTATGCTAGATTTGGTGTCTGCTATTTTATTGAGGCTGGAGACCTTAAAGCCATAGGCGTTTCCTCTTTGGCCCTTGTTCATGTAGTTGCCAAAGGCTAAAACGACTTCCAGGAGTTGCTTCAGCCGCTTACTACGTGTGAGCTCCTTGGAGGCCAGGAGAAGAGCTGAAAGAGAGAGATAAGAAATTCCCTTAAGTTAACAGAGTGGTGCCATTTCAATCAGCAAATGTGAGGCAATCATCCTTCTTCCAAATCCCAAGTCCCAAGGCAAACAGCCCCTGCCCCAGTCATTTCCCCTTGAGAATCAAAAATGTATAAGAATGTCACTAAAGAGCTTTTTCATTACAGTGAAGAGCATATACAGCAACTTCTGGTTTCCATTCAAAGTGAAAACCAGAAGCTGCAGCAAGCAAAAAAAATTTGGTATTTACTGTCAAGTGAGGCAAAGGTACCCACACATAGTGGGTCTCACATAGGATGGTGGTCTAGCTAACAAAAGAGACAGAGAGGAGCCAGGCAATATAAACTACGCTGTCAGAATTGTGATTGGACCTACCACACGGTGGTTGCCTTGCACTGACTGCAACACTACCCAGTGGAAGACAGCCAATGCTATTCCTATTCAGAGTAGATCCATTGAAGTTAATGAATGCCACTAACTTAGGTTCATTCATTTCAATGGGTTTACTCTGAGTACGACTCAGTTGCCTACAGCCCAGCATCTATTTGCAAGTTCTGCAATGGTCTCTGAAAACTTTCGCTTTACCTTCTACTTTGGGTTTCGCTTCTGCAAGCCTCTCTGGGAACTTCTTCTTAAAGAACAATGCTTGAAGCCGCTGCTGGTAGTGGTCGATCCTAAAGTAGTGAAAGGTGTGGGTTATATTTCAAGGGAGCCCCAGAAAACAAATCCACTATGAGTGCAGTTTGTATTTATACAAAACCTAAAATGACTAGGGTATGGATGAGGAACCTGTGGCCCAACAGATGTTGCTGGATGCCAACTCCCATCAGCCCCAGGCAGCATAGCCAAGGGTCAGAAATGATGGTAGAGGGCCACAAGTTCCCCACCCCTGAACTAGAGGATGCTTTAAAGCCTTGGTGGGTGGAATAAATAAGGTGGCTGGCAGAGTTTAAGAAACATCACCTGCCATTTGGCTTTGGGCACTAAGACACTGTATAGTACAACAGAGTGCTAAGGGCCATCATTAACAGTCATCATTTCACTTGAAATGGTGAAAAGGAAGGAAGGAGGGAAGGAGAGAGAGAGAGAAAAACACACAATCCAGATGCATAGAAATATATTTATTCAGTCTAACAAGCTTCCAATATTTCCTTCCATCAAGGGCACTCATAGGCAAAACCAACATGAGTCTTTGGCCTCAGACTCTGTTGCGAATTGCAACATTTTATGCAGTACTGGCCCAGCAATATCTTGATAAAGGGATTTCTCTTAGTGGCTTATCATCAATTTTAGCTGACAAGTACAACAGCTTGAAAAAGCAAATAGGAGACTCTGAATAACGTCCCTGCTCTTATTCCCTCCTCCTGCCATGCCTACAGATACACCACACAGAGAGACAGAGACATTTATATGTAGTATATATACACCTGCTCATTTCATAAAGAAAACGGTCTGCCCGAGCCATGCGGTCAATTTCATGCTTGTGTTCCTCCAGCAGGTCAATGTCACTCTTCTCTGGGACAAACTTCAGTAGCTGGAACCACAGGTGGGGAAGGAGAAAGAAAGACAGCATGAGGGAACCAACCAGGGCAAGGGGAAGACAGCAGGAGAGTGAACTAATAGGGTTGCCTACTGTAAGAAAATGCTGCTTGGAATTCCCCAGGTGACCGTAATTTCTAAGCAAGGCAGCTGTGGTGATAAAAGTGACCTTTCTGAAACATCTGGTTGGATTCTCTGACTTGGATTCTCCCCTCTGTGACCCTCATTAGATACTTTCAAATTCCATATAGGATTTCCCATATCTAACAGCTACAGGCAGTGTATGTCCAATAAAGAACTCCCTTAATGGCCACTCCTGGGTGTAAATGAAGTACAATCTGGCCCTAAAAGTGTTGAGCCCACTCATCCTCCAGTAGACACAAAGCTTTGACTATTCCTCCCCCCCCCACAACTTTTAAAAATGGTTTTGCCCTGGGGAGGCAATGAACAATATCAGTGTGACTGGGCAGATGCTCAATAGAGGCTCCTATTCATGCGTTGAACTTAAAAGCTCATACGTTGACAGATTTTTTACATATCTAGTGGGAGTAATGTTTTGGCCTGGCGAAGCGTGTGTATGTTTGTGTGTGTGTGCTTCTGCGCATGCGTGCACACACACGCACCCATGCACAAAAGCTCCCTAGTTACTAAAACAAACAGCCTGCAAGAAACATCAGACAATGGTTCTGCTTTTTATCATTCCCTCCTCTATACTAAGGAGCAGTTTAAATGCCAGCAATCCATAGATGTGATAATGGTAGTGCAGGAAGCTATAATAGCCAAAGAACACTGAAAACAGGAATGCAATGTTCTTTGTGGATACTCTCAACACCAAGCTAATGTACAAACCAAGAGCTTTTGGAATATTTATTCATTTAAGCAGATTTATATCCCACTCTTTGATCATATTTATAATGCCCAGGTTGGCTCAACAGAAAGTCAAAGGACCTTCCAAAGAGAGATACCAATCTCATTTTAGCATGTAAAAGAACTCATAGTGCCTATCTACTCAGAAGTAAGTCTTATGGCCTTCAATGGGACTTACTCCCCAGTTAAGTGTATATAGCAGGCATCCCCAACCTGCAGTCCTCCAGATGTTTTGGCCTACAACTCCCATGAACCCTAGCTAACAGGACCAGTGGTCAGGGGTGATGGGGATTGTAGTCCAAAACATCTGGAGGGCCGAAGGCTGGAGATGCCTGGTATATAGGATTGCAGACCTGGTGGTTTACGGGACTAAAACTACCATAGCAAAAATAATGGCACAGATGAGATCCATACCAAAGCATCACCTGCAACTGAAATAAAGTATAGTGGCTTCTCTAAGGGCAATTAGTAAGTTTGTGGCTGAGGTTAAATATCAGGTGAGGCTACCACACTCTCATACATTACCCTACAGTAGCTCAGCACACCATTTTTAAAAGATACATTGATTACTTCACTCACCCCCAATTCTAAATATATATTTTTCACTACCCTTTCTTCCTTCTGTTTTTCTTTCTTTCTTAAGTCTTAGGACCAGCACTGTCCCCCCTCACAATAGTAAATTAATACTGGGTCATCTGAAATTATTATTATTAGTTTAGTAGACCAACAGCTATGAAGGAACTCTGAAGAAAATTGCCATATTAACATGATGTGAGTGTTAGGTTGGAGAGCTGATGTTGTTTTACATTTCAAAGCCAAATTCATTTATTCCAAGAAGCAAAGGCTGCCTTCAGGTTGTAGTATGGCCCATTGTGGGGCAACCTGTGGTCTTCCAGAGGCTGTTGGGAATCCAACTCTTATGAGGCACCATGAAGTATGGACAATGGTCAGGAATAATGGGTATTGCAGTCCAACAACATCTGGAAGCCACAGGTTGCTGACCCTTGCTCTAGATAATAAGTAGCATGACATGAGTGAAAAGAGGATGAGAAATATTCCCATTAAAATCAACATGTTTAGTAGCATATTACCTGTTCCAGCATATCTTTAGCAAGATCTTCTTCTTCATCCATTTTCAAGATTGCTTGTCGGATTTCCTCATTGGATAGCTTCAACCTTTAACAACATCAATATTGCCCCATTATTTTGCTTGCATGGCTAATTTTGATGAATCTGAAAGTTCAGCCAATATTCTGTCGTAAAAACTTCCCTTAGATCTATAAGAGTGAGCAAAAGTTACACCTTGCAAACATTCCCCCCCTCCATTCTTGAGTGATTGGAAATGGCTACCACAGCAATTAACTTTAAGCACATACAATATATTGGGGGGGGGGGACTATTCACACAGGGCCAACTTCCCAATGGAGTTGGTGGAAGAACCTCCATGCATAAGGAAAACATCAGTGGAGATACACATGACGGGAGCCTTCAAAGTCTAATTTATAGTACCTTGCAGAAAAATAAGAAAAGAAACACTGAAAAATTCCACACTTTTTGTTGCCTTCATAGTCTTGGAATAGTGAATAAACAAATGTCAATGCTTCCCAGACAGGAAACAGTACTAAGCCTGAGATATTTAACACATTTTAACACTGTCCAATATAATCAGCAGCTAGTAATTAAAACATGGAAGGTTGTGTTAAAAATAAAAACCTTTAAAATTTGAGCTGTGCTCTTTCTATCTATGCAAAAATGTAAGGCCAAACATATGCCCTTCAGCCAATGCATAGCGTAGACCCAGAAGACAAGGCATATCCCTATATCTGAGCTGGGAAGCTGCAACTGGAAACTATGCTCTGCAGCAACTATGCACTGAAGCATAGGAACACGCTGTCAGAGAGACTCCACTATTACTCTTATTTTGTCATTTCCCTTCATCTAAATATATATACACACAATTCATATTGAATGGATAATGGGTCCTCTTTGTGTATGGAAAATCATAACACTCATCCTTCCACTTGGCATCAGTTTCAGCAGGGAAGCCAAAAACCGAAGAGGCCATGGAGAATGAATTACCCTCCTACATCCCCAAGAGAAGTTCCCCTCCAACTCGAATTTCAGAACCATTAAGCAAGATACTCCAGAGAAATCTGTGCTGGTCCTGCCTATGGTCATAGGTACTGTGGCCTCACCATGTTTTCAGTTTCCAAACCCGACAGTTTGATGCCTTCCCAAGGTGCTCAGTTATCTCAAGATTTAAAATGCTAAAAGCACGAGCAGTGAAATCTAAGAATCCGAAACATTTGTGCAACTGTACTAAGCAACTAACAAGGAAATGTTTGGTTCAGGCAACCTGTCCTTCTATCACAGAGAATTACATGGTCCCATTCTAAGATGCAATTCAACAAGACTTACGTACTGAAAGTCTGCAGGTGAATACATGGAGCTTAAGGTGTGCCTCAAAGATCACTGCAGAGTCTATTAATCTCAGGGCCAAATATATCACTGAAACTGAGATATGTAGCTAGTATAAGTGTACGATGGTTGGATATAAGCATATACCAGTTGCCAAGATATTAGATGATCTGTATCAGTACCCTATAGAGGGCTTAATCCAGATCTAGATTTGGGGGGCTGTACATGCAATTTGCACTGACAAATTATTCATTTGACTCAAAGAGAGCTTTATTTCTCTATGCAAATTGCTGGCGTGGGGAAGCCAAACTGGGGGGAAAGGGTTTAAAAAGGGCATATACCCCACCCTAGAGTCTCAGTTCAAATCAGGGGCCCTGTAAAAAGAAAAAGAAGTTCTACAGTTAGGGAGACACATATTTATATAACTTATTGTCTAGTTTGGCCCTCAGACTATACTAAGCCAGCACACAGCTGTAACTCACGCAACCACAAATGCGCTACTCTCTCTCACACCTAGAAATGGATGAGCAATTGGGCCAAAGGGCTGTTAATCAAGTGTTTTCATTATTATTGTTGTTTTTTTCAAAACTTCTGACTAACCACGCAATGGATCTTAAAATAGCCAACAGTAACAGAAAGCAGATGTGTTGCTTTTTAAGCAAAAACAGGTGAACTGGTTTGAACAAAAACCTAAAGCAGATCCCTAGAATCTTTCCACTCAGGGTTGAGCGAAGATGACTACTTGGGGGAAGAGGGGGTGCTGGTTGTAATGGAGACGCCACATTAAAGTGTGATTACGGCCAGAGGAGAAACACTAAATAAGTCATATCTCATTGTTGGATATGTATCAGCAGTGATTTTCCTACTGGTTTTATGGGAGCCAAATATAGATTTCTCCCACTGGCATAACAACTGACAAACCACAGGCTGTATGCATAATTGAAGCACCATCATCTCTGCTTCTTATTTGTTTACCAAAAAACAAAGGCTATGGAATCACAACCAAGTTAAGCAGTTGCTGGCGCATAAAAGCAGCAGAATGGAACAAGGTAGGGCTACACTGAACAACACCTTTGAATTTTTAAAGTGAAAAATACAGGGGGGTTTTGGCAAGGCAAGAAATAAAAATAAAAAAAGCTCTTAAAACCCAAAGGTACTTTTGAAGACAAAACACCCCATCTGTCCCAATCAATTGATACTGCTGAAATTACATGATTTCCAAGAACTGGTACCCAAACTTGCTCGCTTACCTCTTCCCTCCCAAACCGTTTCCCTTTTATTATATTGTATCTTATCAGGTGACGAGTCTGTGGGCAGGGGGTGTATTATATTTTAATCCGTGTATACTCTTTAGAAAGTTGGAGGAGGAGGAGAACTTGTATAGGGAAGGCAGAAGCATCAAAGAATGTTCTAGCATACTGAGGCCTACATCCTGTAATCGTTGTAAAATCTGGGTGACTTGTCAGATCATAACAAGATTACATGGTGAACACTTATAAGCTGCCCATTAAAAGCAAAAAATTCCACCAAGAAATGACTGAGATACAGCACCTTAATATTTCTGCTCTAATTGGAAAACAAACAAACAAACAAACCCTTGAATTAGTCTATGCACAACCATAACATACATTTACTTATTTGACTTTTGCCAAGCTTAACACTCTCAAAAATCCAAGAAAAATTGTAGGGATGTAACCCTTCTAGATTTAGTTAAAAACCTTCATGAGAAATATGAGGTTTCATTAAAATTCTCATTTAAGTCAGGAGCAAGTCACACTGCAACAGGGACTCAGTGCCAGATGCACTCATCCCAAAAGAAAGATGGCTGCCAGAGTAAGGCTGTGTACACGCCATACCTTTAAAACACACAACTTCCCCCAAAGAATCCTGGGAACTGCAGTCTATTAAGGGTGCTTTGAAATGTACCTCTGCAAGGGATAAACTACAGTTCCCAGGATTCTTTGGGGGAACCAATGCGCTTCGATGTTGCGTGCACAGACTAAGGAAGAAGCTTGCAGCTGCTGAACCCAGTAAGTTGGTAAAAGGGCATAGCTGTCAACCTTCCCTTTTTTTGCGGGAAATTCCCTTATTCTAGCGCTGTTTCCCACTGCTTCCTGCTGCTATCCTGGATTGTTAGATATCCTGTAGACTGTCCCTGGGACAGGTGAGGCTGCTGATCCCTTATTTTCAAGGCTGCTGATCCCTTATTTTCAAATCTGAAAGTTGACAGCTATGTAAAAGGGGGACCAGTGGTGTGTATGTGACTCACTGACAGAGGAAGAAAGAGTGAGTAAGATTGTGAGAAGCTCTACATTGACAATGTCTGCTACCTTCCTTTGCTGTCCTGCAAGATCTATCTGTCTGAGCCTGAGGCCCATTCTGTTGTGACTTATTCTTCTATCACCCTGCTCTCCTGTCTGCCACATTCCAGCACCTACGACTCCTTTTTCTTCTGCTTGCTGAGACCCCATATTGGGCTTTTACAGTTAAAACTGCTAATTATATTCACCGCTTTCCTGACTTCTAACCTTGGCCAGGTAGGTTTCTGAAGATTACGGGGGAAACAAAACACTGCTTATTTCTCTTTCCCACCACATTAAGTCACACAGAGCTGGCGAGACCCAAATGTCTGAGTAATCTCCAAGTCAGGCTGAAGCTGCACTATTATCAAAATGCTCCTAAAATGATACTTAGCCTGCCGCTGCCTTGATCCCCTTAGGACACATGAATGACCCCTATTGACTCTACAGCCTCATTCATCACTAATCTCCTCAGGACACCTCAGCTGATTTAATGTCAGTAGACATGAAGTGGCTTATTGTTTGGCCATCTTGCACAGAGAAGGGGGAGAGGGGAGGAAAGAGACAGTGACTTATTCCAAATATGCCTGGGAGTCATGCTGGATTTGCCTTCTATTTTTTTACATCACAGCACACTTCACAGATGTGGCTGTCTCGTTTTTCTCCTTCAAGATGGTCACTGGTTGGGTTTAAGCTAACTGCTAAAACTCTCACGTAGAAAACACTCCACATTCATCAGCCATCTCTCCTCAGAGAGAAGGAGCGCGGTGCTATGCTGCCGCTCCATCTTTAAGCTGTGCTCACTTTGACGGAAGATGCGCTACAACTAACGCAGGCAGGGCCATTTATTCTAGAGCCACGCCTGTCCTCAAAACCACCAGGATACACTTATGCTCATATTTGGGAGAAAGGAGGATATTTTCTCCTTTAAAAATCAATTCATTTGCCTTATCAGTATAAACCATACAATCGAGATAGATAATAATGAAGCCATGCAAAGCACCAATGCACACAGCCTTCCACGAATGTTGCTCACCAAGACTTCACGTAGCAAATGGAGGGGTCAGAAAGCTTTTAGGTGAGAGCAAGAGATTTGATGGAGGGACACGGGTGGCACTGTGGGTTAAACCACAGAGCCTAGGACTTGCCAATCAGAAGGTCGGAGGTTCAAATCCCCACAACAGGGTGAGCTCCCGTTGTTTGGTCCCTGCTCCTGCCAACCCACCAGTTCAAAATCATGTCAAAGTGCAAGTAAATAGGTACCACTCCAGCGGGAAGGTAAACGGTGTTTCTGTGCGCTGCTCTGGTTCGCCAGAAGCGGCTTAGTCATGCTGGCCACATGACCCGGAAGCAGTACGCCGGCTCCCTCGGTCAATAAAGCGAGATGAGCGCCGCAACCCCAGAGTCGGTCACGACTGGACCTAATGGTCAGGGGTCCCTTTACCTTTACCTTTAATA